GTTGCTGGAATATTGCTAAATGCGGCGTAAAACCATACTCACTCACGAAAGAGCAGGAACTCTTTCTCAAGCGATGCCCCTAAAACTCCTTTCACTGAGGGGGAGCGCGGCCAGCGATTGTATTCAGGATTGTATTCAGGATCCTAGGATCGCTAAATCGACCCTTTATAAGAGTAGGACATATGTTTGTTCCACGGTATATCACGGCATAGTTTCATCTATATCCGTGAGTAGGACTGCCCATAGTGGAAAGGATATTGGTGTAGTCGTCTTTATCATTTTTGCTTCAAGCTAATTGGCTAGGCCCCCTGTTCCTTAGCAACATATAAACACATTTTTATACATTTTAACAGAATGAAAACCTACTAGTACCTCGGAAGTATCCGTGGTACACAGTGAAATACATTATTGCAAGTCGCTCGCCAATGGTCGGTTACAACAAGCCATTATTCTTCCCCGCCCTTTAGGCGGGGAAGTATACGGGAGAGGTTAATTTTGTAGCATGTAAGTCGACATGTTGGTTTCTTTGAAATTTCAAGCCACACAGTTACCGAAACGAAACATACAAATCATGTGAAATGTGCGTGAAATGTTGATGTTTATCTTTTCCAGCAATAAGAGATACTTCAAAATCTTCTTGCTATTCTGAGACTTAGTCACTTTTCGTAATGCTGATAACCCATGAAATTTGTTCATTTTGTTTTTAAAAGAGCTAAAAATGATCCCATTTCGCTAAAGTTAACCGGTCTATATTTTGTAAGAATAAACTATTGCGCATTGAGCGATTATCTCCTTTAGCTATAGGCGTAGTATAGAAGTGATAAATTCACGCACTGACCTTGCATTGCTGTACATCGTATCTTATTCAAGCTGTATCACTGAGAGTGAGTGATTATCTCCCTTACCCAAACAGCTCAATTGCGCACTACCTTTGCAATGTATCGTATGTTATTCAGGCAGCCATCGAGAAACGTTCCAGGAAGGTATTTTGGCCAAGCCTGTCACGCGCACTCAATTTTCACACTGCTATAGCAACATATTTTTCAACACGATTAAATAACAGGCTTCTATAAAGTATGTCTTTCTTCATTAAACAACACATGTAAAACAACGGGTTTGATATGAGAATATTTTTATTAGTTGTCGTCATAATCACAAGTATGGCGCTTGCTGTGCATAGTTGACGGCATTGTTTTAAATACTTCACTGTATGTAATGTATGGTACATACCGTTTCATGCGGCGGTTTACGTTTCTGCATGGTTTATTGCTTTGACAAAAAAAAAAAAACTTCCAGCAGAGATCATACACCCGTATATGTTCTTTGCTTCTGGATACATAGGAAATCAACAGGTTGGTCTGTAGTTTGCTATTATTTTCCCAAAAGATAATACGGTTGCATGATATCTTCACGATTTTTGGGTTGAACATAGTACAATTCTTCTAAACAAATTTCAAATCTAAGCCGGAAGCAATCACAACACAAACCCAGTTAACCAAACGGAACCATACACAAGAGTGAGTGAGGTAGTTCGGTTTAACGCCGTCTTGAACAGTATTCCGTGTCAGCTTGATGTGGGAGGAAAGTCTGAAGTGATGCAGGTCTTAGACGTTCACCACTTTGGTGAAACCAACGAGTAAGGGTTTTGTGCTGACAACAAAATCGGGGCGAACCGAGATTCAAACACACTGTCATAGGTTTCTGGCGTGCCCAAGGGACACAACCCTGCATAGCGAATTCCAGCGCCTTCGGCGACTGGGCCAACCATGCCCCCGTAAACAACTGTAAGAAACTATTATACAACAAAGATGTTTTAGATGAGATATGTATTGCGGAACATTCCACGAAGAAACAGTGGCAATATTACACAATCACAAACTACAAAATACATGCACAATAAATGACAATTAAAAAACACAGGAACATTCAACATTCAAAAGAGGTACATTATAATAATTTAATTTCTAAAACAAGTGTTTTATAATGATATTGAAACAATATGAGAATTGAGCAAAACTATGGTAATGTTGTACATACATGTACAAGGAATTTGTTTGTAATTGTTGATATGTTAACAGATCTTGGAAGCTGTTTCTGGATAACTGTTGGTAAACTTATTAAGAATCTGCACCTTTTAACAGAGTGTACCAAATTCTTTATCATGATTGGGGATTATTTGTGATTCTCTTTCTTGGTTGTATTATGTAAGACAGTGCGTAATGTTTCACAGAGACGTTGTTCAAATGGTTTGTTTTGTTGTTGTATATCTACAATTTTTAGTTTCTGATTACTTAAACGAATTTTTGAGAAAAGTGAACTATGGCCTTTGTTTTTAAAATATGTAAGATAATTCTTAATATTTATAGATAACGTGACCAAACTGTATGTTCCTAACTTGCTGCTAGATAAATGGGAATCCATTAATGATTGCGTGAATTTTTACATTTGAACTGAAGTATATTTAGAGTGGATTCATTACATTTTTTTGTGTTTACTATTTCAAAACTTTGCTTTATTTAACCCAACCAACATTTTGACCAGAAATATTGATATTTGCTGCAAAAGCATGCTTTAGAATGACATTTGTTGTGTTATCTATATAGGATTTTTTAATTGGTACTAATAATGGGTATATATCAAGTTTTGCCTGACAGGCCCAGTTTTCTTGCCTGGGTTTTCTTTGTGCTGACCAATTAAAGACACTGTTTCTTTTATTGTGCTTTCCAAAGATAAGTACATTTATAACAACAAATTTGTACTGAACACAAATTCTCTCCTCCCATAGCTTACACTTATTTCCTCTGCACATAACATTATATTGCGGGGAGCTATTGATGCTCTGCAGCAATCTCTACTTGTAACATACAACACGCACATCAAATTCTACCTGTAGGCCTGTAAAACATTGAATGAGAAGACGCAACCTGGCTACGCATATTTAAATTGTGTGTTGGGCACGCAAAGGTACAGGCACAAACGAGTGCACATACGGGCGTCGCTGATCCTGAGGACCTCGCTTTCTCGGTTGACGCAACTATCTATTTATACATCGTGGGCTTTACCCGGCTTCGTTTATGATGTACAGTAACGTATTTTGGCTACATCAACCGGAGTTGGGTTTAACAGGTAATATGTTCGGTATTGCAGAATGCACGTACACTACGTAATTGCGCTCATGGACCTAGAAAGGCCCATGGACTTAATTCGGAAAGTTATATTAGAGTGATCTTCCTTAAATTTATAACTTACTCCTTTTGAAAGTTAATACGTGGCGATGCACCACGCGAGGCAAATCCTTATGTGCATTCAACAGCAAGTCCGGTTCAAAGTTCAATTTCACGAGTAATACTTTCTCTTTTTTTTCAACAAAGGGTGTCCCCCCTATTTATGTCCCCTTCACATACACGGATTTTTCTTACGAGTCCTTACGGATCGCCAACTCGTAGTCAATCGCAAGCATCCGTAAATAACTCGCTGGTATCCGTAAATAACTCGTCACAACTCGCAACAACTCGCAGACACTCTTAAGGATCCGTGAAAGGAGAGGCAAATGTTTTGACACGTCAAAAATCATCTTGCGTTTGTCCACGGATTGATTTTTTTCGTAAATAACTCGTAACAATCCGTAAGTATCGTAAACCGCTCGCAACAACACGTAACCATCCGTAAACTGCTCGCAAGAATCAGTAAATGGATCGTAACAATTTTTTTACGATTTGTTACGGTTAGTTTACGATTTGTTTACGGATTATTTACGTATTATTACCAGTGCTTCCGTGCTGTTTACGATTTCATTCGGGTCGTGTTACGATGGCTTTACGGATTGTTACGAGTTATTACGAGCACTTTCCGTGTAGTTACGAGTACTTTACGAATAGATACGTATACTTTACGTCTTCTAAAGTAATGTTTACGAAAATGGGGAAGGTATAAAAGCTGCAAAAGCGAACACTTCATTTTCAGATGTTATTCAGAAGTCATAGAAGTCACATCTTAGCATATCTACTCTACAATATCTACAAGCATGGCTCCAAAGAAGAAGGCAGTCAACAAGAAGTCTCCTGCGCTTCGAAATATATAACTGCGATCTGTTTCTCTCATATGCCATGTTGTCTCTCTTGATGTCACTTGTCGAATGATGATACATTGAGATTTGCAGGATTTATATATTTTTTGGCAAAAAACCGTTAGGACTCGTAAATATTCGTATCTAACTCGAAACTATTCGTAACAACACGTAAACAGGTCGTAACTAACACGTCAATGCTTCGATGAATAGTAACATTCCGTAATATACTCGTAACAATCCGTAAAAAGCTCGTAAAATGCCCGTAAGTTGCTCGTAGCAAATCGTGGAATTTTGCCGTAAATACATCGTAATAATCCGTCATAAACCGTAAATAGCTCGTAATAACTCGTAACAACTCTTAAATCGGGCGTAAAAGTGGCCAAATCGTAAGAATCCGTGAATGTGTGCGATCCGTAAGGACCCGTAAGAAAAATCCGTGTATGTGAAGGGGGCGTTAGCTTCCGAAATTGAGACCTGGGCTTAATTCCGGATAACATATTTTAAATGAGAAAGCGCTTTTTTCCGTAATTAGGCCTGGGGCTTATGAATAAGAGAAGTCTCGGAAGTTCTTCTGTTCCCATGAAAAGAAGATAATTGCAGAAGAGGGGTGCTGGAACTTTGTGTTCACCAACATATTCGGCGGCATTGATCAACATGCAACACAGCCATCCTCCAACTTTTTTCAGCCTTACCCAGTGCTGGTCGCCAGAACCGAGATATCAGTCGCTGGAATGGCTGGTCCAGACTCGATTATTTCCAAGACTACGTCATTCAGCTGGATATTGCTGAGTGCAAGCTGTTTCAAACTCAATACGGCAAGAAAGATATAAAATCAATGTATGGTTGTCGCACTAAGCGTTCTCTGTCGAGTATACATAACAAAGGGAAACTAGGTATTGATATCGTCTCCAAAACGCAACCTGGTGTTGCACAACCCCTGTCACTGAATACATTACGTATATGAAGTTGTTTATCAACAACAGCCCAGATGCGTGTTGCCTTTCAAAGTACCCGGAGTATATATATTGAAAAACTGCTGAATCCTGCTTTCCTATACGAGTGAATAAGGTATGCTTGTACAAGTAATAATTTAATAATGTTTCCTGGCGGCGTCTATTTTGACAGCCGTGATATAGAATCGGCAGACTCGAATGAAATATATCTCCCATTTTCAACACAGCTTGACAAAGACTCTTTATTGGTTACCTTAGGCAGTGTATTTTTAGACACATGTATTTTCACTTAACGGCTTCAAAATTGAACTTTAAGTTAACATTTTCACACCATATTGAGCCACGTATATTAAGGAGATAAGTATACTGTGTTTGCAATGAAGAGCTAGGCTATCTGTAGATTAACCTCGCTAAACTGAATTTGGAACGGAACGCGAAAATGTTAAATTTAGCGCGGTTTATTCTGCAGGTAACCTGGCTCTACATTGAAAACACAGTATGTTTATCTCCATTCTACCATGACTAAATAAAAGGCGAACTCTTTGGTGTTAGAAAATATATTGGCTGGTTGGTTAGTTTGTTGTTTAACGCCGCACTCAGCAATATTCCAGCTGTATGACGGCGGTCTGTAAATAATCGAGTCTGGACCAGACAATCCAGTGATTAATATCATGAGCATCGATCCACGCAATTGGGATCGATGACATGCATCAACCAGGTCTGCGAACCTGACCACCCGATCCCTTTAGTCGCCTTTTACGGCAAGCAGTTTGTTTACACCGTAATACTTCACACGAACTTATGACAGGCAGTGAAAGCATGTAGGACGGCAACATCGAAAGCTAACATCAGGTGGGCACCCCTGAAGAAAACCAAGCCCGACCTGCAAAGATTTCGTTCTACACCACACGTCACTATTATGGCGTCATGTCGCTCATTGTGACGCAGATTCCTATCCTGTTTTCTGCATGCAAATATTGCCACACATCCTTTGAATATCATAGCAACCGAAACTTTGCAATTTTCATAGCGTATAATTGTACATATAATTTGTTTAAATATGCCTACCGACAATGACTGTAAAAGAAGTACTAGTCTAAAAATATTAGCTTCCACGCTGATGCGGCCGTCAAATCGGCTGTTTCAAACAGGGGGGGGGGGGGGGGGTTATTGTGATTTGATACCTCTGATTGACCAATCAAATACGAGTATTTACCGAAGTCATAGTAGAATACATTTAGATTTGTTTTGTTAAGGGGGCAATTACTCTTTGAATAATGGTGATTATAAGGTGTTTATTATTCTATCCTCAGCTGAACAGCCAGTGTGTATAACATGGACCAACGGTGCCAGCTGTCTTCTCGGGGTATGAGGAAACCACCCATTTCAACATCAGCCTTGCTATGTGTCCTGTGTGTTGGCTTAGCGCTGAACCTTTGTCCTATCATCGACTTGTTTACCACCCCAAACAGCCCTGACTTGTGTTTCATTAATTGGTATAAGCTGCTGTACACTGGATACTGTTTCCTGAACCTCATTGTTGCTCTGTTGAGAAGCTCTGCCCGGAGGTCTGTGCTGAGATATGGCGGTAGGAGGGTGTTCCTGTGTGGCGTGTTCATCGTCGTGTCAAGTTATATCTTTGTTACGGTTGTTTTGGACAGATCAGCTGTATGGACGTGGAACACTTTTGAATCCAATTTCATCAAGAGACTGGAGAGCAACGTCGTGGGTATATTCGAAACTAGGCCTGACTTTGTTGTTCGTGAGCTCCGCACTCTAGAACCCAAGAAACTCGAGCGACAAGCCAGGTATGAAGGTGAAGATGTAAGACTCGTGTGTGAGGACATCTTGATTTTCCATGGAAGAGTTACATTTCACGAGAAACAGGTCATCTGGAAGCATAATAAACAAAGAATTGAATCGTCATCCCGATACCACATCACCTCGTCGTTTGACGAAATACCGGAAAATGACACTATCAGAACATTGTTGAGTCGATTTGATATGGACCTTTATTTATATCGTGTTGAATCAAAGCTCGAAATTTTTCTAATTAATAACGATGATTTTGGAAAATTTTCCTGTCATGTTGCTAAAAACGCTATTGCTATAAAATCGCAGGACAGTAAATCAGGAAATGACTCAAAACAGACCCGAACGGCAACAAAAGAAAAAGTCAAAAATAAAGTCAGAGAATGTCCCAATACACGCGAGGGACATAACCGATGTCCCTGTCTTTCTCAGGATTGGGCTCACAAGAACTTCAGTGTTTTACCATATGAGTGGACTGCAGAGTTCATCTTGGCGAAGATCAAACCTACGAGAAGAACGGTGTCTGTTCCAATAGGTGGTATTGTTTCTACGAGTGCGTCTTATGTGAATCTGGATGACACGCCCGGACTCATTGAATTTGATCATGAAATCAACGGAAGGTCCTTCATTAAAACATGCGAGGGCCTTGATCAGTCATGCTCCATATTTGTGTTCCTGTACTGGTTCCTGTGGCATGATGGTGGCCATTACTCAAACATTCCTGCCTTCTATCAACAATTGCTGATGGTGGAGGGCGTTGGCGGCACAAGCTGGCAATGTGTTTGTCCTAACACATACGGAGTCCACAAATTCGTCTTCTATCGCCAGTTCTACAATACGACCCTTGGAACATACCAAGTTAGTGATGTGGAATATCCCGACACTGTAGAACTTGTTCCCGAGAAGCCCCATCTCTTGGACTTGTATTACAATGGCTCAAAGAAACTTCTTCCGTTGCCAAAGTCGTCTTGCTGGGAGGATGTTGATAAACAAGAGTTTCTTGAAATGTGGCTGGAGGATCTATCATGTCACTTCTTTTACAAAGAAAAGCAGATATTCCTCTTGGGACTATTCTTTTGTATAGGACTGGCTTGGATTTTGACCAGAACGATATTGACATGGGTGACCAATCCAATCATCAACGTGATACTTGGGAGGAAACGAGTCAACATCCAACCAATCCAAGGAAGTGGTACACTGGCAGGACTTGCGCCAGCAGACAACACTGTTTTTAAATACGACCTCTACATTTCGTATGCAGATGAACAGATGGCAATGGCGACTGAAATCGCCCAAGCTCTCACCTCGCGGGGTTTGAGAGTGTGTTTTCGTGACAATGATGTTCTCGGAAATGAAATTGTTAACCAGGCTGTTTCAAGGCTGATTGGGGAGAGCTGGAAATTTCTCGTCATTGTCTCACAAGAATACGTCGACAGTGGACTTCAGAATAATTTTGAAATACACCTTATCATACAGAGATTCCACGACGGTTATATCAGCAACAGAAATGTATCCCTCTTACCATTGCAACCAAACTTGATTTCCGATGTCTTTGACAATTTCGTTATTCTCAACCAGTATGAAAACAGTGAGGATCGTGTAGAGGAAATAATGTTATGGCACGGACCGTCACTATTTCAAAACGAACCATATACCGCTGTCCCTATTAATATAAGAGGCCATGATTGCGGTTTTACATCAACCTCGGTCTACTGCGTCAGCAGTGTTTGCTTTTACTTGTTGTTTCGTATACTTATTACATGTGGGGTCTGTTTGGTAGAATACTTTCTTCTGATGGTGTCATTCCACAGCAGCAATGCAATAGTTTTCTGAAAAGTATTTGGGACTTGTCATATATGAATTACTGCTTAGGTTTAGAAGTGGGGGAAACAAAGTCTTCTGGAGATATGGATGCATTCGTCAGCACTCGCATGTTTCCGTAACCTAGAAGTATGTGATTTTGAATGTTATGAATTAGCTCCTTTGCAATGTACCTTTGTTTGTTTGTTTGTTGCTTAACGCCGCACTCAGCAAAATTCTAGCTATATGACGGCAGTCTGTAAATAATCGTGTCCGGTACAGACAATCCAGTGGTTGAAGTCATGAACATCGAGCCAAGCAATTATAGGATACGATGACATGCATCAACCAAGTCAGCGAGCCTGACCACCCGATTCCGTGAGTCTCCTCTTACGGCAAGGAAAGTCGCCTCTTATGGCAAACATGGGTTTGCTGAAGACCTATTCTCTACCCGGATCTTCACGAACACGTGAAGTGATTACAATGACACGTGTTTCCACAATGTGGCTCATATGGCACAATATATTAATATGTATTATTTGCCTTTATAAGACAGTATGTATCCTTGTAGAAGACGAATTCCATGTTCTTATGATTTGTGACCAATATTCTAGAGCAAGAAGAAACTCTTTTCCCAAGCGTCTCGTTACCCCTCCCTCTATTGAGAATTTATAAGACTTATGTCAGCTGAAAACGAAGAAATTATAAAAGGCTTAGGTAAGTTTCTCTCCCCAAGTCATGAACATCGAAAGGAAACAGTGTGGAACGGTAAATCATTATTAAATCTACCCAGTATGCAAATATATATATACAGTATATTTCCATTGTATTATGGGCCGGTGGCCTGAAGTACCGAATAAATTTGTCTGTCTGTCTGTCTGTCTGTCTGTCTGTCTGTATGCTTGGTTAATAAACGTATCAAGATAGACTGATAATGAAGTTTGTTCTGGTTAATCCTGTTCTTATTAGAAACTTACAATCGGATGCATCCTTATGCAAATTATTATCGGTACGAATATATATAACATTCATAGAAGAAAGAGTTGAAATGAAAGACAAGAATAAAATTTTAAAAAATCGTTTCAATCAAACTATACCGGTTAGCTTACATAAGAATATTACATAATTTGTGTCTGTTGTTGCAAACAATAAAGAACGACTGGTTTACAACCTGATTCCAGGGCCCACTTGCACAAAGCGATCTTAGCGCTAAGATGACCGTCACTCCCATACTTTAACATAGGCTAACGACAGTCTTAGCGCTAAGATCGCTTTGTGCAAGTGGGCCCTATACCCTTGTGCTGTTATAAAGTCCCTTTGAAAATCACCAGCTCGGTCTTAATTTGTCTGGAAATATCTCCCCGCGCCATGATGTTAAAACCACTATAGGGTTGAACCTCCTATAAGATAATCCTTCCCCTCTGCAGCGCTAGGCCGGACTCTTCCATTAAACAGTCAGTCAGTGAGTTCGGTTTGACGTTATCTTTAGCATTATTCCATCAAAAACACAGCAGGGGACACCAGAAATGGACTTTGGACACGTTGTACTCTTGTGGGAATCGAACCCGGTCTTTTGGTGTGATGAGCTAACGCTTAACCCACAAAGCTACCCAGTCGCCCTGCGTGGAACAAGTTCAATCAGCTGTCAAAGGAGAACAGCACTCTTTTCCATTTCAGTCGCTGCTAACGTCACATAGTCTGTGTCTGAGTATGCACGCATTCCGTCTGACTTTACATTTTTGAGTAAAGATAATGCTTCAGTGTATGCATGATCAGATCATTTTATACATGTGTCTAAATAGTTCTTGTCACAATTCCCAAATTATCATCATCTTTTTATTTCAGTACATGTACGCCTCAGGCCTTTGTATATACATACACTTGGCAAAGAACAAACGATTGTGCACTACATACATGTAAAAAATAACATATATAGACATTACATATAGTACATATTGATAATTGTATTTCAGATTCCTTCATAAACTAAGGATATAGGATCTTTTCACATTTGCATAGTATAAAAAACTTTGCTGGTACTACTTATATTTGGACAAGGAGATGATAGCAGTTAGTCAAACTTCTGAATTCCACAATTTCCAATAATTTTGTACCCAACGTTTGTGACCTACAGCTGGTGCCCTGGTAGGGTCGGGTAATAGGGGCCGGATAGTCGGGTAATAGGGACCGGATAGCCGGGTAGAAAATTTGGCCCAAGGCCTAAAGTGTCAACAGTTTGAACACTGATGTTAATATTGTGTACATGTTATTGTTTGGGGCTTGTTTGCAGTGTCATAACATCACTGTCAGAAACCTGTCGCGCAAGTGCGAAAACAGCAATCCTTTCGAGATTTTCCCTGGGTTGTAGCCCTTGCGCTACACAACCCAGCAGTTATGTGGTCTGATGCTTCTTGGTCAGTCTGGTGTTTGGCCAGTCTGGTCAATGTGTTGCATGTCTAGCGACCCCTGTGCACCTAAAGGTTCTGGCAGTGTGCTCTTGTGCCACCCGATATCTGCTATGCTGTACTGCTATACCTGTACACAGCGTCTCTGGGGCTGTTACTGCTGCTGCCAATCATGGCATTGTCTCAGTTAGCTTTTTCAAATTGCGACCTCAGAGAGTTTCGGCTTGTATAAACTCCCTCGTGCTGTCATGTAAACACACACATTTTTTTCACAGTTTAATCCATCAACCAAAATTATTTTCAGATGCACGGACTATCGACAACTAGACCACGTTGGTTGTGTTTTACGAGAATCTTTTTTCTGTCTGTTCAAATTTACATACAACACAACAATTAAAGAAATTCTGAAAGAAATTAAATGTACACTTTCTTATGCTCGTTAGTTATCAAGACGTGTCAGGTAAATGGGAAATTTACCTAAGTACAAAGGTAGTAACGCTTACTGGTACGGTGCTGATAAGCCAATTAAGGATCAAAATAATTGTGAAAATGGCGTTTGAACACACGCCTAAGACAGGGGCGCAAGTTTTAAAAATAAGATGCTCTTAAATGTTATTTCCTGCACTTTGGGACCGTTTATGTTAGATTTTATTTGCAACAAATTATTGGTAATTTTATTATATTTTTTATTAGTAATATATAAATTATTTAAGAAACATCTATGATGACAAAAGAAATTTGAACATGAAAACGAATCTATAATATCACTTTTATGTGTTTTACATGTTCATTCGTAGTATGTGATGGTTATTTTTTTCATATTTTAACGCGAGCCGGCCTATCATTATAATGAAACTAATTGTGTGAGCGCAGTTTGCTTTCGTCACAAATATCTACCACAAAAATCTTAAAGTGCGTAAATATTCCGATTTTCAAGTTAGACAATAACTAGACGCCCGACCGTGTACAGTTTCAATTAATAATTTACTGCATAGATGGTAAATTGAGCTTTTATTTTTGTGTAATCAAAATTGTGTGTTTTTTCGGTGTAGGCAATTGCTTTTCTGCTAGAAAGGTAAACTGAACTGCAAAAGAAACTTTGCACATTTGAAAATAATGTGATTTTAAATTAGTTGTACTGGTTCAAACCCAAATAGGCACAAACACATAGCCCAAACGCATCGTTGTTGTGCCTGTAATGAATACCTGCAATGCGCACGTGTTTTTGAGAATATGCGAAAAATGTAAAATCACGAGATGTCATTGCTTGTAGAAATGCACGTGCAACAGGGGTATAACAATTACACAGTAGCAATGTCAAACATCCACATTATGAAAAAAACAACACATTTGAATGCCAAGACTAACATCAGACCAACGTGAGCGAGCAATTGGGATGGTCCAGATGGGGGCAACGCACACCCACGTTGCAAGAGCCTTTGGCTGTTCCTGTTGGAAACTTGTTGCAGCGTTTAAGGCAGACCGGAAGGACATCGGACAGGTCCAGGACAGAGAGACCACGGGTCACTACGCCACAGGAAGACCGGTATCTGCGAACGTTGCACCTCCGCAACTGCTTCCTCACAGTGACGTCATCGGCAGTGAATGCTTTTGGGTCGGCGGATGAGCACACGGACAGTGACCAGAAGACTTCGGGCAGCAGGTTTTTAGGGCCTATCGACCGTTCAGAGGACAGATGTTGACCGCTGAACACCGACACAGACGAATACGATGGGTTAATACAGTGTAACGGTGGCAGCGTCGGGATTGGCAACACGTGGTCTTTACGGACGACAGCAGATTCTGTTTGTTTCGACTTGATGGTGAGGTGAGGTGAAATTGGGTTTAACGTTGCGTCCAAGATTATTACACTTATATAGCGACGTGCATGCACGTGTGTGTATGTGTGTGTGTGTGTGTGTGTGTGTGTGTGGCTGCTTGTACTATTCCGGACTGATGCCTATTTATAGTGCTAGCCCACTCAGATACCATGCCGCAGTTTAACATGAATACCCCACTCAGACACAGTATACTGACTCCGAGCCGACCAGTCCTTGTTTTGCCCCTAAATGCCGAGCGCCAGACAGGGTAACAACAAGTACCATCTTTTAACGTCTTTTGGTATGACGCTGCCGGAGATTGAACCCCGGACCTTCCGCTCTTCGGGTGGACGCTCTACCACTAGACCAAGGAGTCGGTCTTCGAGTTGATGGCAGACAGCGTGTTTACCGTCGCAAGGGTGAACGGACAGCTGCTTGCTGCGTTCAAGAAGTCGTTCCTAACGGTTGAAGTGGCGTTATGGTGTGTGGTGGAATTTGTGGAGACCAGACAACGCCACTCGTCATGAATGGAAACCTCAATCCGCAAGCTATAGAGATGACATCCTCCGTCCAGCAGTGCCGCCCTACCTCCAGCAACAACCCCGAGGTGTTCTGTACCAACACGACAACGCCAGGCCCCACACAGCTCGCATCGTAGTGGACTTCCTTGCCAACAACAACGTCAACGTCTTACCGTGGCCGGCATGTTCTCCTGACTTATCACTTATAGAACACCTCTGGGACGTCTTGGACAGGCGAGTTAGAGTCCGACCTCACCCTCCCGCCAACAGACAAGAGTTGATACAAGCCCTACAAGATGAATAGAACCGCTTGCCACGTGACCTCATCAGACGTTTGACGTTTTTCCGCCCACGGGGTGGCCACATTCGGTATAAAAGTGACTAAATTTGGTTTCTGTGACCACTTTCCGTGTTTGAATGAATTGCAGTGAAAATCTGGACAACTGAATTTTCAACTCCCACTGATTTTGTTTGTCTGTTGTACAATAGTTCTTCAATACTTTGTGGAACTGTTTGCTTATTAAATATACTTTACCTCAAACATTTGTTATTTTTAGTTTATTAATTACAATCACTTCAATCTGGTGCAAAGTTTCTTTTACCGTTGAGTTCAGTTTCGCCCCCGTAAGGGAAGCAACTCCGCAATGAGTTGATGCACCCTCGACAATAGTCTGCAAGGCCGTAATTAACTTTTTTTGACAGGGGGGAGGGGGAGTCAAATATTTGTACAAATATCACTTGTCCCCAACTTGTATTTTCATGTTTCAAATAAAACTGTTTTCTATAAAAAATCAAAAAAATCCAGGGGGGCAACCGGCCCCCCTGCCCCCTCACTGGTCTGTCTCACAGCCCCTGACCCACATGATTTTCAATTTCACCAAGCCCTTACGGAGCTGTGGGCTATATAGCCCGAAATCAGAGACCATAAACCGGTAATGAAAAATGAAGCAAATCCACGTGTCCACTGGAGCCCATTTTCAATTTAAATGCAGCTGTTTGTTTCTATAAAGGTTATATAACTAAGCGTTAGTCTACCGGGTCACCCATTTCACCACAATAGTCGGTAACGATTCTCTTCAGCGCTCACGTAATGACTGGTTTCTCGTCTAATATACATGCACCAGGCGGCCGCGCATTATGATTGCCTTACCAGTTATCATTCCCACTATTCTCGTGATCCGAAACTAACCGAGATTTTCCGAATGTCATTACGCAGGAATAAACTGGATCCGCTGCTGGTACGCGCCGCAAACTTAGCGCTTTAAACAGTAGTTTTAGTAGACAGGAGCCCAGTCGAAACGCAGGACCAGCATGGCTTCTCTCAGCGAGGAACTTGCAAAACTAGCAAACCCAACACCAGTATTCAAAGATCCTGAGGACGACATAGATGACGGTAATTATATGTTTTGATTGAACACGAAGTGGTGAAAATAAGAGACATCAACACTCCAATAAGATCATATTTGTTGGACCACATGGGACTGAATGTAAACTCTGTCCAGTTTTCGATCATCATTAGTTTACCAGCAAGCAAGAGACAGGATGATGTCAATGATGTAAAATACATGAACATAAGGTTGTCGGGACAGCATCAGTGTATATATTTAGCGATATGTCATTATTATGATTCATATTAACTTTATGATTTATTTACATTAAATAAGGTTCAAACCATCGGGCAAATGCATGATGTTGGTACATTTGTTTAAAGGGACACTGATCTAACGCAATTCCCAGGGACTGGTTGTTGCTTTGTTATTGTTTTTTCCCAGTGAGTACCCGGATGTATAGCAGTAATCTAGACTAGTTCGCGACCTCTGCTGCGCCATTCGTAAGCGCATTAGTCACTTTTATGGGTAGTAATAAGGGCGTATGGTCACATTGATCAACAAAATGAAATACAGTTTTCGAGATAATAAGGAAATGTAGGTATCTTTGTGAGTAGCATCGGTAATGGTGACGAAGTTTTGATAAGTCACTTGCTTGGTAATTTTGCAATTTTCGTTTACACAATTTTGACTAGCAACACAAAGTAAATATTTCACCTGAGCATATGCTTTTTTTTATAGTGTGTATGTTTTTTTTACTGACAAATGTGTAACAAATTTATTAAACGTCTAAATATTCAGTTGTTTTACAAAGTGACTGAAAAACATTTCCATCTGTATTATTATGACAACGAATTCCAAACATTTTGATGTTTAATGTCATCACCAAGAGACTGAAAATGTTACGTTGAAAAGTACATTTCTAAGTTGTTTGGCTTTTAATCCTACATAATAATCTGTTGTGATGTTTGTAGGCCCTTTTGATCGTCTTGATCAATCTGGACAGATTTATGAGTCAAAATGACTGAAATATTTACACATTTTATAAATTGCCTGAGAGAATCACATTTTACAAATTGACGGTAATATATACACGCTTACAAAGGAAAAGACCTGTGACAACAACGTCTATCGCGCATTGAAGAATTTCCCAACCAAGACGTAGAGAAACAAGAACGAATCGGTTCAAATGAAGGAAAACAAAATTCAAATATCATAATTACAACCTACCAAATTTATGTGTATAAGTTTTAGGCAGCTTCCTTGTTCGAGGAATGTATCCATGAATATCCACACAAAGGAACAATATCCCACTCGTCTGCAGCTGTACAAAGAAACTTATTCGATGTCACGTGTCTCTGTAACAATCAAATATTTTAAAAGATATATATCGATATTATAACCCGTGTTCGTTTCTCAACTGATCGCTTGGATTGTTTCAGGTGTTTTACATAGGTGTCTTGTCTCAATGGTCGGCTGAGAAAGCCCACGTGACAACTATTTTCATAACGTCCACGGTTCCTAAAAATTCCATTGAGTGATAGATAACAATGATCAATCAATCAACGTATTATGAGTTAACCCTTTGAACAAAGTATGTTGTTTTTACATCGGCACTTTGTGCCATGATATGAGTGTATTCCCTTTGTTTTAGTAAACCTAGACATGTAAACACTCACTCTTGACATATCCACTGTGCAAGACAACAGTGATTAATCAATCAACATATTTTCTGTTAATCCTTTGATGACTAGGAACGATCTGTTGATTTACAAAAAAATGTAAATCAACTGATCATTCATCTGTTGCTGGGCTGCGACGTGCATATTACATAACACACATTTCACCTCACTTCAAACCTGGATTTAGATTGAATAATTACCCCAGACACACTAAATGCCAAATGGGAACCTTTGTCAGGAAATCTAAGTGGTGCTACCACTAATTGTACCTGTAATAAATTCATTAACTGAGCATCAAGTGAATGACGACAAATACACAAGTGTAGGGTTATACCAGAAAACGTGGATGACAACAAGGGAGTAGTAATCGTATCATCGACGCAAGCCGAAATCCGAAAATGCTTTCACTGCATGGATACTTTTTTTTATTATTAAACTATAACCATCTGGGTATTTCCAATTACGACATACGATGAGCTCCGCCGTTCTTTTTGTCTGTTTGTTTAGGCTGAAGACATTAATTTACATGCGCCCCTTGTCGAAATCTTTATAGATCACAGTTAACCAATCAGTGTTCAAAAATGCGTAAAACAAATATTGCCTCCAGCCTCCAAATTTATTTAGCTGTCCTTGCAGACGGTAGCCCAGTCTCTGGTCACGCTCAGTTGCGTTGCGTATCATCCGGGTACTCACGGGGGAAAAACAATAACAAAGGCAACAACCAGTCCGTTAGATCAGTGCCCCTTTAAGGTGAGGTGAAACGGGGTTTAACGTCGCGCCCAAGATTATTGCACTTATATAGCGACCTGCGTGTGTGTGTGTGTGTGTGTGTGTGTGTGTGTGTGTGTGTGTGTGTGAGTGAGTGAGTGAGTGTGTGTGAGAGTGTGTGAGTGTGTGTGTGTGTGTGTGTGTGTGTGTGTGTGTGTGTGTGTGTGTGTGTGTGAGTGGCTGCTTGTACTAGACCGGACTGATGCCGATTTATAGTGCTAGCTCACTGAGATACCATGCCGCAGTTTAACATGAATACCCCACTCAGACACAGGATACTGACTCCGAGCCGACCAGTCCTTGTTTTGCTCCTTAATGCCGAGCGCCAGACAGGGTAACAACAAGTACCATCTTTTAACGTCTTTTGGTATGACGAGGCTGGGGATCGAACTCCACACCTTCCGCTCTCCGGGCGGATGCTCTACCACTAGACCACAGAGGCGGTCACATTGGTTTAACATGGTTTGACACGGTTTAACACATTTTCTGCATTTGTTTATTCATCTGTATCTAAAAAGATTAAATATCATGAATATTGTTAATAGGTATCCCGAATTATTAATGTTTACTCAATTTCCACTTGTAATAGGTTGCTAAAAAGTTATTATCTTAGGTAGTTAAGGTATAACGGAAAGTTTCTAATCTATATTAACATGATGATTAGCCTATATAGGAAGTAAAATGACCTTAGGAACAACTGAAATTTTTACATTTAGTAAATTGTGTCTCCGATTTCCAGAAACTGCTGCAAAGATTGTCGAAAAAGATTATGATGATGACTTTGATGATGATGACAACCAGTTTAGCCAGCTCCGCAGACAAACAGCAGCTGGACTAGCTGATTCTGATAACAGATATGCAGGGACAAAAGTGACACGGAAAGCTCTGAAGAAAATATCCAATGATGATGACTCAGGTACATAACAAAGAAAACATCAACTGGATGATGGAATTTTTTCAAAAAGCTGTTAAAAATGCCTTCAAAAGATGTTCTTGTTGGCAAACTATATTGCAACGGCACATCTAAACATGCTTGTGCCAAGACCAACAATGTGTCTGTTATATACAGAAACATTCAAGATAATTCTGTTCGACTGTACACCGTTATGAGAGTGAGCGATTTAATTTAATTAAAAATTTAAAATTTAACGTCGCATCAGCATTATTTCAGGCAGAACTGGTTTCATGTCTGATATATTCTTTTTGAACAAACTGAAGTTTCCTTTTAAATCTTACAGATGATGAAATCGATCAATCTGCAATTGATGCACTGGAAAAATCCTTGAGGGGAGGAGATGAAAGCATGGATGATGAAGATGAGGGTGATAATGAAGATGAAGACGACGACGACATCGATGATGATGAAGATGACAACGATGATGATGAAGATGACAACGATGATGATGATGATGATGATGCAATTGATGATTCAGATTTACAAAAGTTTAGGTCAAAATTGAGCACTGAAAAGAATGAATTTAGGTAAGAGATAGAAAGCATGTTGACAATGAATTAATTCTGTAAATAAAGTAACAAAGCCATTTCCATTTCAGCGCTCCTCATGCCGAAGACCCGGGTTCAATTCCTGACATGGGTACAATGTGTGAAGCCCATTTCTGGTGTCCCCCCGCCATGATATTGCTGGAATATTGTTAAAAGTGGCGTAAAACCATACTCACTCACTCCAGTGATACACACAAATCCTCTAATTCACATCTTAATTTAATGTCTACTTCTCTATACTGCTATAACAAAACACAGTTGAATACGTAGAGGATATTTCATGTGTCAAGTGAAATATTGTGCTTCTCTCGTCGGGGGGTGGGGGGAAGGAGATATTTTCACGACTGCCAAAGAAAACTCAGTCTTTCACACTGAAGTATATGATAAATGCTCATCATGCTGAAAAACCCTGGCACCATAGTATTTCAGTCATAGAATAGTGTAATGAAGTATTATTTTTTATATAACTTAAATATGTAATTTGTGATTGTGAAAAACTAAAGTTTTTTTACTTATTTAGATAAAATCATTAAGTTGCAACAAATTTAATGTCTCTTTTTAATGAAGTTTTGAGGATGATGGAGACTACAGCAAATATGCAGATGATGATGATGATGATGATGGTGGCAGTGAGGAAGATGATGATGATGATGATGAAGATGATGATGAAGATGACAAGAAGGAGAAAGATACTGAAGAGTCTGAAATAGAAGATGATGAGGAGGAACAAGAGGGTAATCTGGTTACCGTTTTAAGTTCTATGCATTCTAACAGTACATGTGACCCGTGAAGATTCGGGGTAGAATAGGTCTTCAGCAACCCATGCTTGTCGTAAAAGACGACTATGCTTGTCGTAAAAGGCGACTAATGCGATGGGTGGCTCGGCTCACTGCCTTGGTTGATGCATGTCCCAATCTGTCCCAATTGCGTGGATTGATGCTCATGATTTCAATCTCTGGATTGTCTGGTTCAGACTCTATTATTTACGGACTGCCATCAGACAATCCAGTGTTTGACATCATAAGCATCAATCCATGCAATTGAGATATGATGACATGCATCAACCAAGTCAGAAACAAGCTTAGTCGCCTTTTACGGCAACCATGGGTTGCTGAAGACCTATTCTACCCCGATCTTCACAGGTCTACTTTGGATGAAATCTGATAACTCAATAAATCGGGAATTTTATACAGCACATTCCTCTGTCATGTTTTCGACCGAGTAGTCGTGTCTTCGCACTACCAAACATATACAAGTGCTGGCTAACAAAAATTGATAAAAATAATTATCATCAATGGGAAGAAATATTAATGATTATCGATATGAAATTGTTGTCATCGATAATAACTTACAAAGACAATTGTAATGAAATAAAGTTTAGATTTACCGAAACAGACTTATTATTGTCAACAATGTCAATTGTTGAAGACAGAAAGCAACTGCTTTTGATACATCTCAAATGTCCACAAAGTAATCAATGCATAAATGTTTCACTGCTCATCAGTGGTGTGAAATAGGTTGATTTCTTCTGGGACTTTCTTGCATATTTGCTTATAGTTACTTCTCCAATATTTAACGATAATTGATTACTATGATTTTGCGATCATCGTTCTCTATGATCTACATCGATAGCCAGCCTTACGTTTGCATGAATGATATTTGAATATTTATCCATCGTTTTGTGTTGTGTCGTCCCAGATGGAGGGATTGAGAGTTTCTCCCGGACCAACCAGAGTGAGGAGATTCAGAAGGGGAAAGCAGCCCAGTCTCAGCTAGGTAATATGCCTTCTGAGTGGTCAATCTCAGGAATAACAAACAGTAAACTACGTTTATAATGAACACGCTTATAACGAACTGGCTGTTTTTTTGTTCTCGGCCAACTGCTGTATATATGCTCATAACGAACTACAGTTAAAACGAACTAAAATTCGAGATCCCTTTGAGTTTTTTATAACCTTAGTTTACTGTAATCTGATGTTCCTATTGCACCCATGTGCTGTAATCTGATTGGTTGAAAAACTAGTTTAAGTGTGGTTCAAAGTTGGACAATTTTCCAAATTATCCTGGGCATTTGAAGTCATTGAATGCCATTTTAAAATTCGGAAAAGCTGGCTAGTGCTCAGTCTTTGATATTCATGCTAGTTCGTTAGCAGGAGACTACTAAATTGTAAAAATCCAGTGATGTAGTCTTCATTGCTTAGTAGCATTTGAGGTCTATAATTCTGAACCAGTTCTTAATGCTTTAATTTTGCTGAATAATACTTGACAGAAAATGTAAACATTGTGAACATTTTTTACTTGTCCAAGCAGGACTATCTACAAACTCTGAGGACCAGTGATGTTTCAGTGCCAGGTTTCAGGGTTGTATTGTGTAAGAATTTTAAGCTGAGACATTGTCTTTGGAATGATATCTGAACACAAATGTACAATACCACATGCATTTTGTGTGATGGCATCAGTTAAATTCAACTTTGTTTAGCAAAGCCCAAGATTAATAGCATAATGAGAGAGAGAAGTTGTTTATTTAAGTCTCACTTTCTGTGGAGTCATATCATGCAGATTACATTCTTCTTGGAATTAAAACATTTTAATAAAACAGTAAATAGCTAAATGTACAGAAACCACCCGGAGGTTATGAGAGACTAGTAAAATCAGTGGAAACAGTTTGGTATAAATGTCATTAAGATGCATATAATACAGTACAATACAGTACATATTTTATTCACAAATGGAAAAGGGTTAGGAACAAGTTATAAAACTTAGGATTGTTAGGAGCTTGTAATCATGTATGTATAGCGGCCATAAAATTTCCGAGTCCTGTGATGGGATTCGAACCACGGACCTTCTGATCCGAGGTCGGACGCCTTGTCCACATGACCAAAGAAGTTAACCCCATCAGCAAGCTGACAAGGTAAGGATGTCATCTGTGGGATGACTCCACGCCCTGCTACATACTCCCTAGTCAAAGGAAGGCACGTCCCGGGCCGCATAATAGGGTACTAAGGCTTATTTTGCTCAAATATAATATGAACGTGCTCAGCCCCACGTTGGGCGCCAATGTAGCAGCCATAAAATTTCCGAGTCCTGTGATGGGATTCGAACCAGGGACCTTCTGATCCGAGGTCGGACGCCTTGTCCACATGACCAAAAAGGTTAACTCCGTCAGCAAGCTGACAAGGTAAGGATGTCATCTGTGGGACGACTCCATGCCCTGCTACATAAGCAAGGTCATTTGTTAGTGATGTTTCCAGCAGGGAGATAAGATGTGTCACTCTCGTTTCAGGACTCTGGGACAACCTTTTGGAGGAGAGGATTAAAGTACAGAAAGTAGCATCTGTCATCAACCAGCTGCCTCAGCCTGCCACCTGGGATCTGTTTGTGGAACAAGGGGGAGATAACTACATGCAGGCTGTCACTGAAGGTAGCTTTGAGTGAGATTTGAGTCTGAAGGACCTTAGCATTAAGTAAGGGGTAATGCAGATATTATGGGGTGAGGTGACATGGTGTTCAAGATTAGTGCACTTATATAGCAACATGTGCGTTCAGACTAATGTCGGTTGTATAGTTCTAGCCTACTTATATACTCTACTGTGTGCATAGCCCACTCAGACACAGTATCGGTTGTCTGTATTTTATTTGATGTTGTCTGACCTTGTTTTATCGGATAGTTTCTTACCATGTTTTAACGGATGTTATTTGACCCTGTTTTATTAGATGTTGTCTGACTGTTTTATCAGATGTTGTCTGACTGTTTTATCGTATGTTGTCGGACTGTTTTATCGGATGTTGTCTGACCAGGTCTTATCGGATGTTGTCGGACTGTTTCATGGAATGTTGTCTGCCTGTGTTTTATCGGATGTTGCCTGACTGCGCCGGATGTTGTCTGACCATGTTTTATTGGATGTTGTCTGACTGTGTTTTATCGGATGTTGTCTGTATTTCATCGGATGTTGTCTGACCATGTTTTATTGGATGTTGTTTGACCATGTTTTACCGGATGTTGTCTGTATTTCATCGGATGTTGTCTGACCATGTTTTATTGGATGTTGTCTGACTGTGTTTTATCGGATGTTGTCTGTATTTCATCGGATGTTGTCTGACCATGTTTTATTGGATGTTGTCTGACCATGTTTTACCGGATGTTGTCTGACCATGTTTTCTTGGATGTTGTCTGACCATGTTTTATTGGATGTTGTCTGACCATGTTTTATCAAATGTTGTCTGACTGTGTTTTATCGGATGTTGTCTGTATTTCATCGGATGTTGTCTGACCATGTTTTATTGGATGTTGTCTGACCATGTTTTACCGGATGTTGTCTGACCATGTTTTATTGGATGTTGTCTGACCATGTTTTATCAAATGTTGTCTGACTGTGTTTTATCGGATGTTGTCTGTATTTCATCGGATGTTGTCTGACCATGTTTTATTGGATGTTGTCTGACCATGTTTTATCAAATGTTGTCTGACTGTGTTTTATTGGACATTCCCAGATAGTTTTGTCAGATGTCCCCAGACTGTATGATGTCTGACTGTCAGTTGTCGGATGTTGTCTGATTGTGTTGTCTGATTGTGTTGTCAGATGTTCCCTGACTGTGCCAGTTGTTGTCTGACTGCGCTGAATGTTGTCTGACTGCGCTGAATGTTGTCTGACTGCACCGGATGTTGCCTGACTGTGCCAGATGTTGCTTGACTGTGCTAGATGTTCCATGACTGTGCCTGATGTTCTCTGACTGTGCCGGATGTTGTCTGACTGTGCTGGATGTTGTCTGACTGTGCCGGATATTCACTGACTGTGCCAGATGTTGTCTGACTGTGCTGGATGTTGTCTGACTGTGCCAGATGTTCTCTGACTGTGCAGGATGTTGTCTGACTGTGCCGGATGTTGTCTGACTGTGCCAGATGTTCTCTGACTGTGCTAGATGTTCCCTGACTGTGCCGGATGTTCACTGACTCTGCCAGATGTTGTCTGACTGTTGTCAGATGTTCTCTGATTGTGCAGGATGTTGTCTGACTTTGCCGGATGTTGTCTGACTGTGCTGGATGTTCACTGACTTTGCCAGATGTTGTCTGATTGTTGTCAGATGTTCTCTGACTGTGCAGGATGTTGTCTGACTGTGCCAGATGTTGTCTGACTGTGCCGGATGTTGTGTGACTGTGCAGGATGTTGTCTGACTGTGCCGGATGTTGTCTGAATGTGCTGGATGTTGTCTGACTGTGCTAGATGTTGTCTGACTGTGCCGGATGTTGTCTGACTGTGCTAGATGTTCCCTGACTGTGCCAGATGTTCACTGACTGTGCCAGATGTTGTCTGACTGTTGTCAGATGTTCTCTGACTGTGCAGGATGTTGATTGACTGTGCCGGATGTTGTGTGACTGTGCCGGATGTTGTGTGACTGTGCCGGATGTTGTCTGACTGTGCTGGATGTTGTCTGACTGTGCTAGATGTTGTCTGACTGTGCTGGATGTTGTCTGACTGTGCCGGATGTTGTCTGACTGTGCCGGATGTTGTCTGACTGTGCTAGATGTTCCCTGACTGTGCCGGATGTTGTCTGACTGTGCCAGATGTTGTCTGACTGTGCCGGATGTTGTCTGACTGTGCCAGATGTTGTCTGACTGTGCCAGATGTTGTCTGACTGTGCAGGATGTTGTCTGACTTTGCCAGATGTTGTCTGACTGTGCCGGATGTTGTGTGACTGTGCCAGATGTCCCCTGACTGTGCCGGATGTTGTCTGACTGTGCTGGATGTTGTCTGACTGTGCTAGATGTTCCCTGACTGTGCTGGATGTTATCTGACTGCTGGATGTTGTCTGACTGTGCCGGATGTTGTCTGACTGTGCTGGATGTTGTCTGACTGTTCCAGATGTTCCCTGACTGTGCCGGATGTTGTCTGACTGCGCTGGATGTTGTCTGACTGTGCTAGATGTTCCCTGACTGTGCTGGATGTTGTCTGACTGTGCCGGATGTTGTCTGACTGTGCCGGATGTTGTCTGACTGTGCCAGATGTTCTCTGACTGTGCCGGATGTTGTCTGACTGTGCTATATGTTCCTTGACTGTGTCGGATGTTCACTGACTGTGCCAGATGTTGTCTGACTGTTGTCAGATGTTCTCTGACTCTGCAGGATGTTCTCTGACACTGCAGGATGTTGTCTAACTGTGCCTGATGTTCTCTGACTGTGCAGGATGTTGTCTGACTGTGCCGGATGTTCCCTGACTGTGCTGGTTGTTGTCTGACTGTGCTGGATGTTGTCTGACTGTGCAGGATGTTGTCTGACTGTGCTTGATGTTTTCTGACTGTGCTGGATGTTGTCTGACTGTGCTGGATGTTGTCTGACTGTGCCGGATGTTGTCTGACTGTGCTAGATGTTCCCTGACTGTGCCGGATGTTGTCTAACTGTGCCAGATATTGTCTGACTGTGCCGGATGTTGTCTGACTGTGCTGGATGTTGTCTGACTGTGCCGGATGTTGTCTGACTGTGCTAGATGTTCCCTGACTGTGCCGGATGTTGTCTGACTGTGCCAGATGTTGTCTGACTGTGCCGGATGTTGTCTGACTGTGCCAGATGTTGTCTGACTGTGCCAGATGTTGTCTGACTGTGCCGGATGTTGTCTGACTGTGCAGGATGTTGTCTGACTTTGCCAGATGTTGTCTGACTGTGCTGGATGTTGTGTGACTGTGCCAGATGTCCCCTGACTGTGCCGGATGTTGTCTGACTGTGCTGGATGTTGTCTGACTGTGCTAGATGTTCCCTGACTGTGCTGGATGTTATCTGACTGCCGGATGTTGTCTGACTGTGCCGGATGTTGTCTGACTGTGCTGGATGTTGTCTGACTGTTCCAGATGTTCCCTGACTGTGCCGGATGTTGTCTGACTGCGCTGGATGTTGTCTGACTGTGCTAGATGTTCCCTGACTGTGCTGGATGTTGTCTGACTGTGCCGGATGTTGTCTGACTGTGCCGGATGTTGTCTGACTGTGCCAGATGTTCTCTGACTGTGCCGGATGTTGTCTGACTGTGCTATATGTTCCTTGACTGTGTCGGATGTTCACTGACTGTGCCAGATGTTGTCTGACTGTTGTCAGATGTTCTCTGACTCTGCAGGATGTTCTCTGACACTGCAGGATGTTGTCTAACTGTGCCTGATGTTCTCTGACTGTGCAGGATGTTGTCTGACTGTGCCGGATGTTCCCTGACTGTGCTGGTTGTTGTCTGACTGTGCTGGATGTTGTCTGACTGTGCAGGATGTTGTCTGACTGTGCTTGATGTTTTCTGACTGTGCTGGATGTTGTCTGACTGTGCAGGATGTTGTCTGACTGTGCCGGATGTTGTCTGACTGTGCTAGATGTTCCCTGACTGTGCCGGATGTTGTCTAACTGTGCCAGATATTGTCTGACTGTGCCGGATGTTGTCTGACTGTGCTGGATGTTGTCTGACTGTGCCGGATGTTGTCTGACTGTGCTAGATGTTCCCTGACTGTGCCAGATGTTCTCTGACTGTGCCGGATGTTGTCTGACTGTGCTGGATGTTGTCTGACTGTGCCGGATGTTCCCTGACTGTGCCGGTTGTTCACTGACTGTGCCAGATGTTGACTGACTGTTGTCAGATGTTCTCTGACTCTGCAGGATGTTGTCTGACTGTGCCGGATGTTGTGGATGTTCCCTGACTGTGCTGGTTGTTGTCTGACTGTGCTGGATGTTGTCTGACTGTGCCGGATGTTCCCTGACTGTGCCAGATGTTCTCTGACTGTGCTGGATGTTGTCTGACTGTGCCGGATGTTCCCTGACTGTGCCAGATGTTCCCTGACTGTACCTGATGTTGTCTGACTGTGCCGGATGTTTCAGCCCAGTCGGTGCTGAAGAAGCTGCTGGAAGACCTGCTCCGAGTCCAGACTCTGCTACTGCTCCAGAACCAAGAGACGAGGCACGTGGTGGACGGTTCCGACCCCAAGCTGGACAAGTAGGGTGGATTCTTTATGTTAAACTAGGCCCCTTGGGGTTAGAATGTGTCCCAAACAACCTATACCAGTCATAAGAGTTGACAAACTGGATCAGATTGTCAGACTCAATGTCCTGGTTGGTAGCATGTGATTGTACCCCAGTTGCTCATAATATCAATCATGAGAGCTTGTCGTAAGAGGCACCCTACAAGATTGGATGGTCAGGTTTGGTGACTTGGCTGATGCATGTCATCGTATCCCGATTGCGTGGATCGATTGCAGGGATCGATATCAATCACTGCATTGTCTGGTCAAAACTCAATTAGTTATAGACTGCTGTCATATTGCTGACTGCGGCGTAAACAAATTTAGAAAGTTAACCACTTCCTTTGTGAGATTGATGATATCCGTTTAATTCTGAATGCCAATGTTTGTTTTTCTGAATCTTTGCGTGCATGAAGCGTGTTCGTATGTTCACACCACACCCTTGTCTTCGAATACCCGACGTCTATTACATCATAGCCATAAATTCCTGTTTAGCTGTCAATCCCACTACAAATTTAACAGTTTTCAACAGACGTCCTCTTCACTGCCAACATATCTAATAGTTGTGAGGATAATCCTATCCTTTGCAGGAAGCACAACTGTTGCGGAAGTACATTTATCACTAGCTTCGTATCATATACATCAGCACAAGCAACTCGAAACAGTCCAGGCTCCAAAAACCTTCATTAGTACTCTGAATCTCTGAATTTTTATCCTTGGTCTTTTCTGCTTTCTAGAGGAAGTAAACCTGGCTCTGATGATGAAGAAATCACCAGCGAATCTGAAACAGAAATCACCAGCGAATCTGAAACAGAGTCTACCCCTGTGGTCAAGAAACCTCCGAGACAGCAGACGGACACACAGGGTTTGAAAAGGAAGTTCAAGATGTCAGACTACCCTGACTTTCTGTCAAAGAGGCACAAAGGATTTGCAACTTACAGGTATGAAGGCTCTCCTCATTACAGGAACGTTATTCCCTCTACTTGTTCTTCATGTCTTGGGATATTGTGTGGCCCCCCTGTTGGTGAGGTGGACTATGTCTTTGTGTGCTAACTCAATCTTAGGATACATAGTAACAGTGATTAAAAACAGATGCACATTACACAGACAATGTCTAGGCACTACACACAATGTCCAGACAGAGCATTGCCTACACAAGAAACACAATGTCTTGACAACACACAATGTCCAGACAGAGCATTGCCTACACAAGAAACACAATGTCTTGACAACACACAATGTCCAGACAGAGCATTGCCTACACAAGAAACACAATGTCTTGACAACACACAATGTCCAGACAGAGCATTGACTACACAAGAAACACAATGTCTTGACAACACACAATGTCCAGACAGAGCATTGCCTACACAAGAAACACAATGTCTTGACAACACACAATGTCCAGACAGAGCATTGCCTACACAAGAAACACAATGTCTTGACAACACACAATGTCCAGACAGAGCATTGCCTACACAAGAAACACAATGTCTTGACAACACACAATGTCCAGACAGAGCATTGCCTACACAAGAAACACAATGTCTTGACAACACACAATGTCCAGACAGAGCATTGACTACACAAGAAACACAATGTCTTGACAACACACAATGTCCAGATAGAGCATTGACTACACAAGAAACACAATGTCTTGACAACACACAATGTTCAGACAGAGCATTGACTGCACAAAAAACACAATGTCTAGACAGTGGCGGTCAGGTAGCCTGGTGGTAAAAGCGTTCGCTCATCACGCTGAAGACCCGGGTTCGATTCCCGACATAGGTACACTGTGTGAAGCCCATTTCTGGCCCCCTGCTGTGATATTGCTGGAATATTGCTAAAAGCGGCATAACACTGGAATATTGCTAAAAGCGGCATAACACCACGCTCGCTCGCTCGCTCGCTCGCTCGCTCACTCACTCACTCACTCACTCACTCACTCACTCACTCACTCACTCACTCACTCACTCACTCACTCACTCACTCACTCACTCACTCACTCACTCACTCACTCACTCACTCACTCACTCACTCACTCACTCACTCACTCACTCACTCACTCACTCACTCACTCACTCACTCACTCACTCACTCACTCACTCACTCACTCACTCACTCACTCACTCACTCACTCACTCACTCACTCACTCACTCACTCACTCACTCACTCACTCACTCACTCACTCACTCACTCACTCACTCACTCACTCACTCACTCACTCACTCACTCACTCACTCACTCACTCACTGGACAACACATCATTTTTCACATTTTCACAACACACAATGTCAAGACAAAACATTAAACATCTAGACCTGCATGGGGCATTGGCACCAGCCCTGTGAGCTGTCAAATGAATCACAGAACAGAATAATACCCTCGTGCAGACATCCACAACTGTCAGAGTGAATTGATTTACGTGGATGATTTATTGTATCACTCTTTGAAAATCTTGGACTTGATGTTAAACCCCATTTCACCTCCCCATCTAGTGTGTATGGCATGTCTTTCTATTTCCAGAAACGAGACGCTGCACAAGTGGAATGACAAGACGCGGCTTGCATCAGGGAAGATCAAGGGGAAGTCATTCAGCGCCCTGGAGCAGTCTGCACTCAAACAGATCGAACAGGTGGGAAGACACTGCATCCTGCTCACTGCCGAGTCTGTCCCAGAGCCACAATACCGACCTGTGATCTGTCCTCCATTAGCCAGTGTCACATCACAGATAAATTTGTTGAACCCATTTGCTACCCATCTTCCCAAGGCAAGGGAGTTAACTGACTTTAAAAGTTCCACCCTTGTCGAACTAGGCTGGAATTCCTTGGATCGACCGTAGCGCCACCAGTGGTTATTACGAATAATGTCCCTTCTATGCCTCTCACATGGACCAATCAGATTCCACCTCTTGTATCACTTGCATTTGCTTCATTGATTGGACTATGCATAGACTCGTTTATCCCGGCCAAAATGTAACTCCATAATACCAGCCTAGTTCGGCAAGGGTGGAAACTGGACTTTTATAGTCAGTTAACTCACTTGCCTTGGGAAGATGGGTGACATCTGGGGTGGGCTTCACACATTGGGCCCATTTTGGGAATCCAACCCGAGACTTCCAGCGAACACTTCAATCGCCAGGTTACACCATCGCTCCAATATAAACCAAAGAAATACAAGGACAAGGTGGAAACTGGACTTTTATAGTCAGTTAACTCTCTTGCCTCGGGATGATTTTCGCTACCATACCTCCCCTCTGAGTTGAGGGCAGACGGGTAGCCTGGTGGTTAAAGTGTTCACTTGTCACACCAAAGACCCGGGTTCGATTCCCGACATGGGTTCAATGTGTGAAGCCCATTGCTGGTGTACCTGTCGTGATATTGCTTGAATATTGCTAAAAGCAGCATAAAACCATACTCACTCACTCACTCACTCACTCACTCACTCACTCACTCACTCACTCACTCACTCACTCACTCACTTTGAGTCCAATTGAAAGGCACGATGCTAAAAATGGTCATCTCGGAGTCACTATACTGTGTCTGGGTGGGGTATGCATGTTGAACTGTGGCATGATACCTCAGTGGGCTAACACTACGAAATCAGCACAAGTCGTCACTAGTACTAACAGGTTGTGCAGGTTGTTATATAAGTGCTATAACCTTACCTCACCACCTAATAATACTATACAAATGACCCAATACACAACACTGTACAATAGTAAGGGAACACTTTATATGTTATGAAAGTGACACTTGAGTTTATTCTTTTATTCATGCATGAACATCCAGCACCTCAGATATGAGGTGGGTGTGACCAAAATGCAAATGTCCGATTGGCCAAAAAATGTTTCCAGATCCCCGATACATGGTGATGTATGCTAGGACACGAGGTACAGTTGGATTGGTTGAGTTGGCATTCTACTGGTGATCTGTGTGGTTGATCTGTGTGGTTGATCTGTGGTAAATAGTAAATTTATGTTCAGGAATGATTAAGGTTTCATTGTATGTGTTCAGATTATGCGAGACAAGGACCGACTCATCCGACGTACACAGCTGAAGAGAAGTGGACAGAGGATCCTGGGTGTGGAGGAGAAGGTGGAGGAGGAGAACCAGAGGCACGCCGAGGACAACCAGGAGGTGGGTGTCTGGGGGTAGAGGGAGAACCAGGAGGTAGGTGTCTGGGGGTAGAGGGAGAACCAGGAGGTGGGTGTCTGGGGGTAGAGGGAGAACCAGGAGATGGGTGTCTGGGGGTAGAGGGAGAACCAGGAGGTAGGTGTCTGGGGGTAGAGGGAGAACCAGGAGGTGGGTGTCTGGGGGTAGAGGGAGAACCAGGAGATGGGTGTCTGGGGGTAGAGGGAGAACCAGGAGGTGGGTGTGTGGGGGTAGAGGGAGAACCAGGAGGTGGGTGTCTGGGGGTAGAGGGAGAACCAGGAGGTGGGTGTCTGGGGGTAGAGGGAGAACCAGGAGGTGGGTGTCTGGGGGTAGAGGGAGAACCAGGAGGTGGGTGTCTGGGGGTAGAGGGAGAACCAGGAGGTGGGTTTGTGGGGGTAGAGGGAGAACCAGGAGGTGTGTGTCTGGGGGTAGAGGGAGAACCAGGAGGTGGGTGTCTGGGGGTAGAGGGAGAACCAGGAGGTGGGTGTCTGGGGGTAGAGGGAGAACCAGGAGGTGGGTGTCTGGGGGTAGAAGGAGAACCAGGAGATGGGTGTCTGGGGGTAGAGGGACAACCAGGAGGTGGGTGTGTGGGGGTAGAGGGAGAACCAGGAGGTGGGTGTGTGGGGGTAGAGGGAGAACCAGGAGGTGGGTGTCTGGGGGTAGAGGGAGAACCAGGAGGTGGGTGTCTGGGGGTAGAGGGAGAACCAGGAGGTGGGTGTCTGGGGGTAGAGGGAGAACCAGGAGGTGGGTGTCTGGGGGTAGAGGGAGAACCAGGAGGTGGGTTTGTGGGGGTAGAGGGAGAACCAGGAGGTGTGTGTCTGGGGGTAGAGGGAGAACCAGGAGGTGGGTGTCTGGGGGTAGAGGGAGAACCAGGAGGTGGGTGTCTGGGGGTAGAGGGAGAACCAGGAGGTGGGTGTCTGGGGGTAGAAGGAGAACCAGGAGATGGGTGTCTGGGGGTAGAGGGACAACCAGGAGGTGGGTGTGTGGGGGTAGAGGGAGAACCAGGAGGTGGGTGTCTGGGGGTAGAGGGAGAACCAGGAGGTGGGTGTCTGGGGGTAGAGGGAGAACCAGGAGGTGGGTGTCTTGGGGTAGAGGGAGAACCAGAAAGTGGGTGTCTGGGGGTAGATGGACAACAGGAGGTGGGTGTCTGGGGGTAGAGGGAGAACCAGGAGGTGGGTGTCTGGGGGTAGAGGGAGAACCAGGAGGTGGGTGTCTGGGGGTAGAGGGAGAACCAGGAGGTGGGTGTCTGGGGGTAGAGGGAGAACCAGGAGGTGGGTGTCTGGGGGTAGATGGACAACCAGGAGGTGGGTGTCTGGGGGTAGTGGGAGAACCAGGAGGTGGGTGTCTGGTGGTAGAGGGACAACCAGGAGGTGGGTGTCTGGGGGTAGAGGGAGAACCAGGAGGTGGGTGTCTGGGGGTAGAGGGAGAACCAGAAAGTGGTTGTCTGGGGGTAGATGGACAACCAGGAGGTGGGTGTCTGGGGGTAGTGGGATAACCAGGAGGTGGGTGTCTGGGGGTAGAGGGAGAACCAGGAGGTGGGTGTCTTGGGGTAGATGGACAACCAGGAGGTGGGTGTCTGGGGGTAGAGGGAGAACCAGGAGGTGGGTGTCTGGGGGTAGAGGGAGAACCAGGAGGTGGTTGTCTTGGGGTAGAGGGAAAAAGAGGAGGTGGTTGTCTGGGGGTAGAGGGACAACCAGGAGGTGGGTGTCTGGGGGTAGAGGGAGAACCAGGAGGTGGTTGTCTTGGGGTAGAGGAGAACCAGGAGGTGGGCGTCTGGGGGGAGACGTTGAACCGGGAGGTGGGTGTCTTGGGGTTGAGGGAGAACCAGGAGGTGGGTGTCTGGGGGTAGAGGGAGAACTAGGAGGTGGGTGTCTGGGGGTAGAGGGAGAACCAGGAGATGGGTGTATTGGGGTAGAGGGAGAACCAGGAGGTGGGTGTCTTGGGGTAGAGGGAGAACCAGGAGGTGGGTGTCTGGGGGTAGAGGGAGAACCAGGAGGTGGGTGTCTGGGGGTAGAGGGAGAACCAGGAGGTGGGTGTCTGGGGGTAGAGGGAGAACCAGGAGGTGGGTGTCTGGGGGGTGAGGGAGAACCAGGAGGTGGGTGTCTTGGGGTAGAGGACAACCAGGAGGTGGGTGTCTGGGGGTAGAGGGACAACCAGGAGGTGGTTGTCTGGGGGTAGAGGAGAACCAGGAGGTGGGTGTCTGGGGGTAGAGGAGAACCAGGAGGTGGGTGTCTGGGGGTAGAGGGAGAACCAGGAGGTGGGTGTCTGGTGGTAGAGGGAGAACCAGGAGGTGGGTGTCTGGGGGTAGAGGGAGAACCAGGAGGTGGTTGTTTTGGGATGGGTGGGTTTGGGTTGGGGGAGAACCAGAGGCATGGCGAGTACAACAAGGATTTGGGCTCGCACCTTCTGGGAGGAGGAAGGGGAGGGGAGATAGGGTGGAGGAGGGATTAATGGGAAGTGATGTAGGTGGGAGAACCAAATACTCAGACTTTGTCATGGGTACGACTGTCTTCACAGGCAGCAGTGTCAGCATCTCCTGGGGACGACTACGACGGCGAGGTGTTTGACGACAGCGACTTCTACCACCAGCTGCTGCGTGAGCTGATTGAGAGGAAGACGAGTGAACTCAATGATCCAGTCGCAATCAGCAGGTGAGATACAGGTGATATCATGCAGTACAGGTAGGCTATTACTTGCTGTAAGTTTTCTGGGTGTTATTGGGTATTTGATGCACAGAAGTTTCCTTTGGAACCAACAGCTTTATCCGGAGGTTTCAAATATTGCAATTTTTGGCCTTCAATTTGAAATACATAATGATATTCTTAAGTACAAACGTTATCAGTAATTTTCTGTGGGACTGTCTCTATGCTAACTTGGTGTTCTTTGTGATACTGACATGACATCTCTCTGGAAGACCATGACGTCATGATACAAGGGATGACATGTGTCTCCGTGATAACAGAACCCTCCTGGTTAGCTGAATCTGGGAAAAGAAAACTTGAAATTGTTCTGGTCAATATTGACCACACTTAATATATAAGTAATGTGGTACTCACCAAGCCAATTGACACTCTTTTCTTTCACTTTAAATGGGAAAAAAAATAAATTTTGCAGTGTAAAGTCAGAGATTTCCAGGGTCCAGTGCCATTTAACATGGTATTTAATGTAATAAAAATATCTTTTAGTGGTATGCCAATTGACACTAACAGAGTTGCCTCCCTTGTTCTTTTAATCGCATGTCCACTGCCAAGAATGCAAGCAGTGTTTTGCTATTTTTTTTATTTCTTTTGTTTTCAACTAGGTGAATGACTATGCAGGTTTTCAACGTTCCCAGCTAGATTGCGTTGTCCATTTACTAGTGGCTCGTGGTAGTGGACACGGGACCATGGCAGAGTCGCAATGCCAGTAACAATCAAATTGCAGCACACTCAAATTCATTTTACATGGCTGCAATATTACCGAAGTCATATATCTGGAATATTGCTGAGTGCGGCGTTAAACAAACAAACAAAACAGACATAGAATGTTCATTTACTCACTCATTTTACAATATCTGTTGTCTGCAAAATTAGAATGTAAAAGATAAACCAACTGCTTGTTACAGACAGTGGCTAGAGATTGAGAAGTTACGCACGAAGGTAAAGAAGAAGAAGGTGGACACACGGGCCAGCAAGGGGAGGAAGATCAGGTGGGTACTTCTCTTCCTCTAGCTCCTGTCTTGTCTCAGGGTCGCCATCACTCCCTGTACTATGAAGGGTACGAGTGACATTTCCTTTTTATCCCAATAGAGTTTTGTCACAAGTGCTTTATCTGTCTGAGAGCACAGCAACACTCCCCAAGCTCTCTTAAGACCTCCGTGGTCTAGTGGATTTGGCATCTACCCGGAGAGCGGAGGGTCAGTTTTTCAATCCCCAGCTGTGTCATAAAAGATGGTACTTGTTGTTTCACTGCCTGTCTGGTTGGCGCTGATAGGTATCTGGCAATGGACAAATGGAATCCAACAGTTAATTAGTGCTAATAGGTGATAGCGATGGACAACTTGAAGCCAGGACATAAATTATCACTGATTGACATCACAATGTCACACAGGAGGTGAGGTGAAATGGGGTTTAACGTCGCGTCCAAGATTATTGCACTTATATAGCGATGTGCATGTATATGTGTGTGTGTGTGTGTGTGTGGCTGCTTGTACTAGTCCGGACTGATGCCGATTTATAGTGCTAGCTCACTGAGATACCACGCCACAGTTTACCATGAATATCCCACTCAGACACAGTATACTGACACCGAGGCGACCAGTCCTTGTTTTAGCCCCTTAATGCCGAGCACCAGACAGGGTAACAACAAGTACCATCTTTTAACATCTTTTGGTATGACGCGTCCGGGGATCGAACCCCGGACCTTCCGCTCTCCAGGCTGACGCTCTACCACTAGACCACGGAGGCGGTGTGGGCACACAGGAAGCCGGGAGTAATTAGCAGTGATAGGTAATAGCAATGGAAATGGATCCTTGTTATTCCTGGTAGTAGTTTCCGTGACAAGTCTCAGGTGATAATGATACAGAGGTTATTAGCTGAGTGTGTTTTTGTGTCACAAATACATTTTTTATTCCTGATATTTATAATTTACAATATGGAAACGCACAAAGGCAATAATCTCTTATCATATAATGTCATTCGAAAAAAATAATGGATGTTTGAAGCAGAAATCAAACTCGATGTATGTAACTTTAAAAACTGCGTATGAATACAGTGTTTGAGTGAATTGTCCCATTTAATATTGTCCCATTTAATATGGCACATGGTTTGCAGGCATGTTTGTCACCCACACATTGAGAAAAACTGTTCTAAACTTATTAGGAACCTTAGTCAGTAGTTTATTGAGCAAGCAGACATTAAATGAACATACCAGTTTGTTAGGCCCTTTTCACAATATGTTTTCTCATACATTGTCTTGACCGCCTCCGTGGTCTAGTGGTAGAGTGTCTGCCCGGAGAGCGGAAGGTCCGAGGTTCGATCTCCGGCCGCGTCATACCGAAAGACTTAAAAGATGGTACTTGTTGTTACCATGTCTGGCGCTTGACATTAAGGGTCTAAAACAAGGACTGGTCGGCTCGGAGTCAGTATACTGTGTCTGAGTGGGGTATTCATGTTAAACTGCAGCATGGTATCTCTATACTAGCACTATAAATCAGCATCAGTCCGGACTAGTACAAGCTGCCACACACACACGTCACTAAAAAAGGGCAAAAATCTTGGATGCGACATTAAATTCCATTTCACCTCATCTCACCTGATACATTGTCTCACTCATCAGGCAGCCTGCCTCTCTCAAAGCACATGGCTGCCCCTGGTTCATAAACTAGAGTAAAGTCCCTTTGAGCATGCAAGAAGTCGACTGAAGCAATTAGAATAAAAATATAAAATATCCTTATCTTGCATTTTCACAGACATTGAATCTATGGGTGGAGTTTGGGGTTGGTTTATCATATTGACAACACTATCCATCGTATGATAATTCACTTTATTTGTGTACGTCTGTTTAGTCGAGGCAGAGGTAACATTTGGTTGATGAATACGTTCATTAGTTTAAGCCAAGATACATCTTGACTCTGTACATCAGGATTTTCTCCCAATAGAGAAGTGAATGAATGAATGAATGAATGAATGAATGAATGAATGAATGAATGAATGAATCCAACAGAACATCTCTTTCTTCCCATGACAATAAGTTTTTTCCGTACCCATGATCCTGTTAGAAATTAAAAAAATAATTGTTTAGTCTCCCTAGTTAACATGCTCATATAAATGCACCTTCTTGTCTGTTGTAGGTATGACGTCCATGCAAAGCTGGTCAACTTCATGGCCCCGATTGACAACTCCACATGGTCAGATGAAGCACGGTGGGTGTCCAATGTCCAACATTTTAGGCTTAAAACGTAAAAGAATTGGTTCTCAGGCAATGACTTTTGAGAAAATAGCGCAAGCGAGTGTTTTGTTTTTCTCTCTCGCTTGTTCAAACTAGTATGTTACCAAATATAGAGTTGTGTACCATCAACCTGGGAAAGGGCCTCCCTACATAAACAAGCATACAAACTTCTATTGCTGCCATGACCATAACAAGATGCACATTAAAGCAGTGTGCATGTAAAGGGAAGTAACTGTGTGTTGTATTGAATCGCATTGTTTTTAAATATTAGAATTTTTTATGATGAAAATGGAAATATAAACGAAACATACGGTGGATTTTGTGATGATGCTGGCGGTGACTGAGAACCATGACTATTATTTTTTTTGCCTTAGTTGTTTGAAATTAATGACAGATCTACATACTGTATTCGACGTAATAAGCGCTCCGCTCAAATAAGCGCCCACGGCGATATTTGCTAATATATTGGCTAGTGAACAATCCCAATTAGCACCCCTTCCGATTGATCAATGTACACAAGAATTATTCGTTCGTGTATAATACACACTCATGTGTTACATGCACCCTTAATAATAGGCAATTAAATTCTGGAAAAATATATCTGTCGTATATAAACATTTCAGGCTGTCTGCATAAACCACGAAATTTACCTTTCAACTCTGTTTTTTCCCCCCCAAATAATATTCTTATAAGAGCCCCCTATTATAACGTTGAATACGGTATTAGCATCCTACTGTCATCTATTGGTGACAGTGACATCTAACACATTTGTGTTGACAGTGTTGCAGGTAAGCAGTAGCCAGGTGTTTTTAGATATCATTTATCTTTTAACTTTTATTTCTGACTGATTGAATCTGAATGGAATTATTTGTTAGACAATGTAATATGTTATGCCAGGGTGACACACAAGATACCCATGGGGGGATTCTGGGTTAGAATTGGTCACTCGATGGATTGGGTCAAGTGGTCAGACTCAGTGACTTGGTTGATGGTGTCTTATAACACCATGACGGTGTGAATCGTTGCTCTAAATGTCAATCACTGGATTTTTTGGTCCAGATTTCGTTACAGTAAACTTCGATTATAACGAACTCAAAGGGACCACTGATTTTGGTTCGTTGAAACAGAAGTTCGTGATAAGCATATGTACTACAAATATACACAAATGGCCGGCACCAAAAAATAATATCCTGTTTGTTATAAGCGAGTTTGTTATAAACGCAGTTTACTGTATTTACTGGCCACCATGATATGGCTTGTATAATGTTGCTTGTATAATGTTGAGTGAGGTGTCAAACAACACACACTCATGCATCACGCACGCACGCGTGTGATCTCCTTTATACATGAGTTTTCAGTTGCCCTGCCAAAATTCCGAGATTGGTTTCTTATAATTGTTTTTCCTTTTTCAGGAATGACTTGTTCAAGTCTCTGTTTGGTAAGACAGTCAAAATCTGACCAGACTGACCACACAAGGTGAGCAGAGGGATGAGGTCCACCATCTTGTACAAGATTCCGCATCAGTCTGGAAGTACCGGAGGAACTTGCTCCATCTTGTGGATACACTAGATCAACAAAATATTTAATCCGAAAAAAGAGAGGTTGTGTGTTTATAGCTTTCAGGATGTGAAATTGTACAGAGAAATCTATGGCATTCACTGTAGCAGTGGCCATCTTGATCAAATACCATGATGACATGGGAGTGTATGCACCAAGCTGATGAAGTAAGTTAACTGTTACTTTGTGAGTCTCAAGCGGGAATAACAGGGTGTATGGGAAGTTACAAGCTAAATGGTTGAATCGTTTACATCCCGCTGATGATACATGTTTTGTAATGATTTATCACTATGAATTCAGAAGCTTCAGAAACTTGTTTTATGTGAATTTGTTTTTGTTACAATATCACATCTATGTTGCGTCAGCCTCTTATAGAGGTGGGGGGATGGGGGGATGGGGGCATGGGGGCCCAGTTGTCTAAGGTGCCGCAATTCGCTGCAAAGTGACGTCTGAGACCTGCATCACTTCGGACCTTCCTCCCGCATTAAGCTGACACACCATGATATGACTGCAATACTGTTCAAAGCGGCGTTAAACCCAACTCACTCGCTCACTCAAATCGGTACATCTGGATTATGTTTCTAAGTTTGTCAGCACCATTCCAGTGCTCCTGGGTTTCACTAGAATTGTAAACACCCAAGACCTGCATCCCTTCGGGCTTTCCTCCCAGACTCAGCTGGCACACCATGAAAATACTGGAACACTATTAAGAGCGGTGTTAAACCCACTCACTCTCAGAAAGGTAACTCACAGTGTGGACAGGGTCATCCAGCGAGGAAGTGACATCACGTCAAACAGTATGATGCCATGTCTGTTCAGGCCGGCCAACCAGCCACCTAGAAGAGTTTTGAGGAAAGATGAACTGGCCTTGGGGTTTCCATGATGAATAGGGGCGGTCGGGTAGCCTAGTGGTTAAAGCGTTCGCTCATCACACCGAAGACCTGGATTTGATTCCCGACATAGGTACAATGTGTGAAGCCCATTTCTGGTGTCCCCCGCCGTGATATTGCTTGAAAATTGCTAAAAGCGGCGTAAAACCATAGTCACTCACTCACTCCATGATGAATAGGTCTCCAACAACCTAGCTGGTCGTAAAAGGCCACCAACGCCGTGATATGACTGGAATACTGTTAAAAGCGGCGTTAAACCCAACTCACTAACTCACTCACTAAAAGGCCACCAAATGGATCAGGTGGTCAAACTAGTGTGTCCATGTTCCTGGACGGCGTGGATTGTCTGGCCCAGGCTGCCATCAGTTAGCTGGAAAATTGTAGTGTCTGGTGTTTTGAAAAGTGACTCTCACACAGGTTAAGCACGTCTGTCAGTCCGATGTGCTACCTCCAGTAGCAAAAGTATTCTGGCAATTTGAAGTGTGAAGAAAATGTTATTGTTTATGTAAGTATCATGTAAATATATGTGATATAAACAAAATTGAGAAATATGATTTTATTGATCTGTTGTGCTTTCTATGTTGCGCATAGTGCTGAACTATTTGATATTCTCGGACAGTGGAAGGGGATTGATATTCTTTTAATTTTCTTTTTGCAAAAAAGCGAAAATAGCATCCCGTCCCTGTTAACATCATCCTCGTATATAAAGGGTATTACATCTCCATTCTATTCCGATGAATACCCTGGACCCAAATTGCCGCCACACTTTTATTTTGGACCCAATTCGAACGGCAATGTTGCTAAAAATATCGCTCCAATCAAATATCTCTCATTAGAAAGCTTTTGCAAGATTAGTTATAGGGAGATTGAGATGGTAACTTGACATGTGAAAACAAAACTCATGTCATTTGGTCCTGGTATTTATTGTAAATGAATGGAAATATGATACACTGGATATTCAAGGAGGAACAAACATCCTCCAATTACTGACGTATAATGCCCTTTTCTGCCCATGTCTGAAATACTCGCTTTTAAGCCTGACAAAACTGCTTTCTGATTGGCTAATGTCGACTTCTTGTTGATCATTTCATTGGTCAGTCAAAGTTCACGAAAGTTTGTTCTCACGTGACCCCTAATGGATGTCCTCAGATCTTTGTTCAGCAGTAGTGATAACTAAAATCTGATTTTAATGCGATTGCCTTGTTTGAAAACCTACAAGTCTTCATGTCTAAAAAGTTAATTGTCAATAATGTGGTGAAGTGGTACGTTGTTTGCTGTCTTTTTGATTTTATTTGACCTCTTGTTTTTGTATCGAAACTATGTCTCTTCCAAAACTGAAATTAATACAATCCTGTATGTGAAGACATCTCTGTTCTCTTTCACAAAACGAGAAAATGCACTTTTGTCTCTCACCGTGTTGGTTCTTCTTTCCACTTCGCAAGACATCTTAAAATAAACATGTGTCTGATAACACTGTTAAACTGTGTCTGTGGCATTTCCAGTGTCTGAGCCAAGACTTTTATGTCTCCTGAAATTTGTACAATCATTTCTGTGACACCCACAATAAGTTCGGCACTATTCTGCCCCATGATTTTGAAAGATGCTAAAAGCAGACAACAAGCAGACGACAAAATGGCACCCTTCATGTGCTGGACTTACCTTGACCTTTTGAAGAGACTGACTGGTAATCTCTGCAGGAAGCCCACAGCCAATGTCGGCGCCATACATTTCGTAATGCTTGACAATATACCGTATTCGACGTAATAAGCACACAGGGCACTCTCAAAATTAGAAATAGGGGGCTCTTATTAGAATATCATTTTGGTGAGATAAAAAACAGAGTTGAAAGATTGTAAACTTTGTGGTTTATGCCGACAGCCTGAAATAATATAAAAGAAGAATCTGTGCGTATTATACACGATAGATATATTTTCGAGAATTTAAATGCCTATAATTAAGGGTGCATTTCATACACGAATAAATGTGTCTTGTGTACATTAATCAATCGTAAGGGGTGCTAATTGGGATTGTTCACTAGCCAATATTTTGGTAAATATCTCAGTAGGCGCTTATTACATCGAATACGGTAAGCTAACTAATGAATACTTGGGTCCTAGATGTATGATAAAATATTGGTGGTGTCAACATGTTAGACTATTACAATGGAGTAAGTGCCCCAAATCATCACCACTAATCTTCCAGAAATGCCAACCCCAATTAGAGGCAATTAGGATTAACATGGAATACATAGGATCTAAAATTCGTAATTTTCAAAAGAATTAGTTATAATAGCATGTATAAATGAATGATTTTGTAAAGAGAAATGATCTTTTCACAAGTGAAAAATAAGAAACTGTGGGTTGATAATTGATTGATTGTGACAATGTCGGTAGTTAGGTCACCAATTAGTCTTCATAACTGGTCATGCAATTCGTAATATTTCACTTGATCATATTTTCAGAATATTCTATAATGATTCCTCCAAAATCGTACTGGTTGGTAGCGTATTTTCTTGAGTCTAGTGCACACTTTTTAAAAAAAACCCACAGCTGTGTAGAAGGTGGTGCGCATTATTCATGCAATAATGAGTTTTTATGTTTTTTCCCCCAACAGAGAGACACTAACGTGAGCACCTAACACCAGAAATACCATGTCAACAAATCAATGCTGAAATATGCAAATTAATCATGTAATTACACTGTCTGGCTATAAAAAGTGTTCTTTGTATATCTGACACTTATATTTGTAACTTATTTCATTAATTTTATTAAAAATTCCTTTTAATATTGCTTTAGTATCTCGGATGCTCATCATGCTTACGTTCTCTATTCATTTGATGATTTCTATGGGAGATACACATGACCCATGTTTCCCTTACTCAGAATCCTATGGTTCTGGGGTTAAATTTCAGATAGTTCTGATTTTGGGTATGTCAGCATGTATGTACAAGTGCTCATGGATGTTAGACCAACATTACTCAGCTGTTCCCTCCTACATTAATCTTACATACAGTAATATAACTGAAATACTTTTCAGTGAGGTGTAAAACCCACACCACTCATTCACGTTCTGAGTGTTAAAGCTCCAGCATGGACTCGTCGGCATACAGGAGGAAGGCTCCAGGGTCAGAGGATGAAATAAAATGAGAACTTGGTTGTCAGGAGGCATGAATAGTTTCTTGGGGAACAACCACTTATTCTCAGCTACACGTGAGTTGGCTCAATGGCACCTTGAACAATCTTCAGGTCAAGTCTCCTTGATGTGGGAAGAATGCCTAAAGTGATGTAGGTTTTAGACATTTTCCACTTTGGTGAAACCCCAGACCACTGGTAATGGTGCCAACGAACCTAGAAACATAATCAGGGCGAATTTGAGATTCAAACCAAAGATCACAGGTTTCTGACACATTCAAGGGAAGCAACTGCACATCAAATTATGGCGTCTGAATTAAGACAACTGGACCATAGCTGTTCATAACAGCCCATCTGCTTCATTACACAGGTCCACAGCAGTCTTGTAAATAAGTTGTTCACAAAGAACCATCCTTCGCTCATCCATCGGTTTTTACCCGTGAAGATTCCTGGGTAGAATAGGTCTTCAACAACCCATGCTTGCCGTAAAAGGCGACTATGCTTGTCGTAAAAGGCGACTAACGGGATCGGGTGGTCAGACTCGCTGACTTGGTTGATGCATGTCATCGATCCCAATTGCGCGGAGCGATGCTCATGATGTCAATCACTGGATTGTCTGGTCCAGACTTGATTATTTAAAGACCGCCATCATATAGCTTGAATATTGCTGAGTGCGGCCTTAAACAACAAACAAACAAACATCCATCCATTGGTTTACTCATGACACTGCGTAGATCATTCATGAAAAATCACCAAGACACATTATTCTCATAAATTTAGCTTTTATTAACTTTGTCACACTATGAATTGTTGCAACAATCATCTGATGATTTCCAAAAGACAAATGCTTCTGCAGCTTGTGCAACATCATCTTTAAAAAAATTCCCTGTACATATGTACAATGACCTGACAGGCCACCTTTCACTCATGTTGAATGTCTGATTTACAAAGATCTACTAATTCTTGGACATCCCAATTCTCACACCCTCCTCAAATACCAAGCTGACAAAGTTTTAAATAATAAACAAGCTACACGACTACATAGTATCACAAGACCCAATATAGATCTTGGCTGTTACCCTTGACTTAATTTCAGTGTTAAGACACAAAGGGGTGCTTGAGGTTTTCTGCTTTTGTATCTGAATCAAAGGAACGCTAACAGGTGATGACCAGGGCCCACATGCACAAAGCGATCTTAGCACAAAGACTATTGTAAGCCTATATTAAAGTATGGGAGTTATGATCATCTTGGTGCTAAAATCGCTTTGTGCAAGTGGGCCCATGGCCCAATTGAACACTGCGATCTCAGCTCAATGTTGAAGTAGGCGAGGTATGGTTGTCATAGTTCTAAGGTTGCTTTGTGCAAGTGGGTCAAGGATTTTATGTCCATTAACATACTGACTAATCTGACAACCATGATTGCATAGAAATACCCTGGCCAGATTATGAAAGCAACTCATGTCAAGTATTTAGTTAAACCTTACACTGAACTCTCTACATAGTAGAATTTTTTACCAAGAGTTGAAGTCTCTGGTGACAGGAAAGTTAGTTTCTGAAGTCAACCCCAGTTCTTATGAGATCAACTATCTCCAACAAAATAGGCATTACAATTTTCCCCAAAACAAAACAAAAAGGGCACTTGCACCAATTGCATCTCATGTTCCACAACTTGAACATACAACAGCACAAACTTGTCGGAAGTCCCAAAAAGCCAAGCATGGTTACTTGTGGCAAGTATTATGCAAAACTTGACACTTATTCAAGGCAAACACTGTGAATGTTTGAATCATTTTATGCCAAATTACCGTTTTGCAAATATTCAGGGAGAGCAAGACTTGTCATTAAATGACCAAATAATCAGGAAGAAAGCAACTTGGTGCATAAATGTCTGAAAGCACTAACCATACAAATGAGAGACATTGTCAGAAATATACATGTAGGTCATTCTCCACGATGCAGTGTGTTTTATCTCCGTTCTACTGTGACAAATACCCTGGACCAATATGCCTTATTTGCTTAATTTCCAGTTCAATTCGAAAGACATAACAACAAATATAGCACTCAAAAAATATTACACTGATCTTTTATGATTGAGACAAACTGTGATATCGTCAGTAGTCCTTTTGTTGCATATCGTTTCAAATACTAGAAAATGAAGCAGGATTTATATACCTGTCTTGATACTCAGGAAAACAAATTTTTCAGCTATAGGTGCATATATAACTGTCTTCCGATTCCATGATATATAATGGGCGCTCACTTGCTTGCCGCCGCATCTTTGAATGTAGATGCTGAAATCTCATTCAGAAGAGGCAATTTGTTTGGTTTAAGCTCTTGAGCAAGAGAAATTCTGTGCTAAGTTAGTGATACCACAGATGGAGCTGGTGATGTCACTTCAAATATGAAGAAATAGTGGCGATTAAGTCCCAAATATTTATCATAACAGATGGTAGATATAATACGCAGAAGAATCAAGGATGAAACAGGGCATTTCTGAGATGAAAGACATCTGAAGCAAGAACAAACTCATAAGGCAAAGGAATTATAATTCTATAAGCCTCCTTTAACATCAGACAAAACAATTTGGTTTTGGGTATACATCTTGACACCACATCAGTATGCACCTTTAATTTGGGGTCATGATGCACCTACCTATGCACAGATACACCTCGAGAAACCTCCAAGGACTGACAAATTTAAGCTCATGTTGATAGTATTATGCAATAAGATTAAACAATCTCATGAAAATCAGATCTAAGTTCTCGAAGCCGCTAAACAAAGATCTGAGGACATCCCATTACGGATCACGTCAGAATGACCTTTCGCGAACTTTGACCGACCACTGAAATAACTAACATGAAGTCGACATTAGCCATTTGGAAAGCAGCTTTCTTGAGCATTACGACACTCGTTTCAACCTGGCGACTTCCATTTCAGACTACGCTTGACGAACATTCCGGAATGTCTTATACATGGTTGAGATTATATGGCAGTGCTTCCCACGTACTGTGCAAAGTCTCCTTCATTCAAATGTTTGTCCTACGGAAGCGAGAGATAAACGATAATTTTGACGGAATCAGTTGTACGGGCTGTAACTGTCGTTCGGAAAACCCCATGTTAACGTTTGCATGATTAGAAAACACTGTCACTTTCATGATCTGGTAAGCGACGCTTTGATTGGTGGGATGAAAGGTCGTTCTGACGTGACCCGTAATGGGATGTCCTCAGATTTTGGTTCAGCGATAGCGAAACGAAGTTCTGATTTTAATGATATTGTCAGATTAAGCTGTTTGTTTCTGAATAGAGATAAGACAAAGAGAGAGGGAGTAATGGTCAGGTGGGGTTTTTCATTTCTTTGTAAGCATTACATTTTTAAATCGATACAGAATTAAACTTTGAAATGATACATGGGTAGGCACATAGTGTCATATCATCAGGTGTATGTTCAAGATGCATTAATACATTGAGTCATGACATCCCTACCATTAACCACTCACCCCCAAAAGCTGATGAAGTCAAATTTGTGGGGATAGTAAACTTTTTAAGTACCTATCTGTGAACACCATGACAAGCTCAAGCACGCTCAACAGAAATTGTCATCAACGATCTGAAATAGGACCAACATTGGGCCTCAGTAAAGTAAACAATCTTGAAAATAGATTTGATAGACTTTGAAAGCTTCAGCTGGGTCGAATTTGGCGAGACCCATACCCAAATACTGTAATGCTTGAATTATCATATGGTTTAGTACAAAAGCTAGCTAACTGTACATTTGTACAATACTATTTTCTCCCTTTCATAAAAGCACTTGCATGTGTATGGTATACACGGATTTCACAATTTCTCAACATCATGTCAAAAGGAACTTCGTAAAAAGCAATATATTAAATCTTACATATTATGTCAATAACACAATACATGTAAAATCTCGATGCCGGTTGAGTGAATTGCCTCCCTTTATGAAAATATGGCACTTCAGCTTTGACGATACAAATGCATGTAAAGGTACAACATGTAGACACTTTATTGCTGTTCACAGGACAACCATGATCTTTCAAACAGGAGCTAAAAGGCCCATTGGGATAACATCATGCTATTCCTTCGGCTGCACTTACAAATTTGTAAAGTATTAAGTATCAGTACCTTTATCAGTTTGATTTTATTGAAATTTTCAAAATTTGATATTCAAATAAAAATTTAAGACAGATTTATTTCCATAAAAATTCCATTCACAAAAGCATCTGTTAAAATAAATTACAAAAATTCTTTGAAGAGTACAAGTAAATGCAAGATTTTCAAACAATAAATGCCTGTATTAACTCAGTTCCTGCAATAAAATACAGTACTAAAATATTTTACTCCTGTATTACAATATATACTCACATGAGTCATATTTTGAACTGAATTGAAAGAAATGATCTGTGTTTTATCATAGAATTATTCCTGAAAATAAAACAGCAACCTTCTCTTCAGAGCAGTCTGCAACATTTCCCTCATTCACGTTCCTTCACATTCTATATATTATCTGCATAATCAGTATTCATACTAACACTTCAAAAGTTGCACACAAGAATTTTAAATAAGAAAAACCATTACAAAACAAAATGGTTTTAATAAGTTAGCTCAGTGAAGAAACAAGTCTTCCACCCGATGTATTGCTTAAACAAAGTGATTTACAATGATAGACGGCTACAAATACATCTCACTTACCCTTGACAAAAAACAAGATTTCTTAAAGGGAGGCTACAAGCCTTGCTAAACTGGCAACCCTGGCTAGATTTTACACCACTTCTACCTCCAGTGTTATGGTGATTTCTGTCAATATTGGACCAAAATTATGGCCCCAAATTTGACTATGATAATATATCACAAAGTTAAATCTGCCCAATCCAGACTACTTTCATTCTGGATCCGAGACTGTAATTGATGCTCTCTAATCATCATAATTAACTTTTCACACACCTCACTCGCACATCTGGTAAGCTTCGATTGATGCCAAAATGACCCTGACTCAGTGATAACAGAGCTTTGATGACAGCATGAACACATATCCATCTGCAATTCCTGCCGAGTCCAACATGTCAAATATAAATTGTTGTACATGTACACATCTTCAATCTGCATGTGGGACACCAAGGGATATACTCTTGCTCGAATCAGCTTTCTGTCCAATCCAGAGTGCCATCTTAAGTTACTACACTTGATGCTGGCCCCATGCAAGTCTGGTTTAGACAGATTCCACTGGCTATCACTCTAGCATATAATGACTACCCCAACGACCCAGAGTCAATGTCTCAGTCTCACACATGGCACTAATCAAATAATCTAGACCTAGGCTCCAGACCGTTACACACACTCCACCTTTGACATAATACACATGATCCGATAAAAATATATGCTCATGTACAGTACAAAATCTTTCACAAAACCCAAATATTTACTGATAGTACCCAACTCCGAACTTAGATCTTCTTATTTCAACTGTACCAAATATTTCATCTCAAGAACTTGATTGTTTCCTCAAAATATCTGTTTCACTAAGAAAAGAGAACCTATATTTGACATTACTATCCATACAAAAATATGTTTCTACCTCAAATGCAGGGAGCATTTTCATCTTCCAAATATATAAAGAAAATTAACAAATTGTTGTTTACTAATAAAAGGCTCAATGTGAATATGCATGATACTGATCGTTCCTAGGTCACAATTTAAAGCACTTTTATGAAATGGTTCTGCAATGTGGTTGAGATCAGTATTTACACGAGAACTGGACATTGTTTTGAACAACCTGTCTCCATTGGAACCAAATCACAAAATCAAATCCAGCTGATTGGACTATACATAATTTGTCTCTAGGCAAAAGGAGAAATAAAGCTAGCACATGCCTAAAGCTATGTAAAAGACCACAAGCTTCCAATCTGTGGTCAGATAACTTAAATGTATTGCATTTAGATCTTATCAACAAGTGTGAGATCTGTTGACAAATTTCATGGAGGATGTTCATTGCGCTTTGATCTTCAGGGTGACTTGTAAATTTTAAGTACGACATCAGTTATTTTATGTCCATCTTAAAGGTTTGTTTTAGCAAACAATAACTACCTCTACATTATCAAATCATGTTGAAACTCTAGAGCAAGATACTCTCTAGATTGACTACTGGTACATTTAAAATGAGCAAGTGTCAATATCATGATTGCAAATTTAACATAAGGATGATAGAATGACCAAAACATTTAGTTCCCTGATTGTTCCTGCTTCTGTTCACAAATAACTATAAAAAGCATGGCAGTTGTGGAAATGACCTCCTATAAGGGCAGTGCTAAATCTGGGGTAAAGATCAAATGTTGAAGAATCCTTATAAAATTCCCTAACACAGCATCAGCATATATTTGGCCTACAAATTGCAGGTTCACTTCATCCCTTGAAAATGAATCAAGCTAAGCTTTTTTGTGTTTTACGTTAAATATATTGATATTGTCATATGACCATTCGAACCAGACCATTCATTCTGGAACAAAGGACTGCAGAACAGGGGACAGTAAATCTTTCTGTCTGCAGATTCCTTTCCTGAAAGCGGAACTTGTAATTGATGATGAACGTACATTTCAAATGAACACATGTTGATAACATGTAATGAACAAGAACAATGAGGTGTACACAAACATGGAATGTGACGACTGTCCATAGCACTTGAGCGGCAGCGTAATGCCCATGTTCTTCGAAGAACATCACCAGAAAGACTTCCCTCTGAGAATATCACAACATGTCTTTCAGTCGCACATGATACTTGTGTTACGTGCTAATCCGCTTGCTCTCGATTCGCATGCGAGTTGACTTGCGTGTTGTGAACTTAGCGTCTCTGCACCTCTGACATGTGAAGTCGTCAGGTATGTTCGTTTTGCGGATTTTAGCACAAGATAGGTGAATCCATGTTAAACACTCATTACACTCAATCATAGGCCTCCCAGCATAGGGCTTCAAACAGAAGCATGTGATGAGTTCGTGAGAATCGTCTTCTGAAACAAAGAAAAACATATTAGATGTTGCCAAAATTAAGAACATGCCAGATCATTCAAGTTTATTTTCGATAGCAGTGTTCGAAATTAAGGGTGTTCTGGGGTTCTTGAACTCTGTCATAGTGTTAATATCAATCTTAAACTAATACAAAGGGGTTATGACAAGGATCCCTTGACTTTCATGCTACATATTGATCACTGAAGTTGACTGAAGTTTTATCTTTACTCAAACATATAATAGTCAGAAGGAATGGGTACGTAGTTGGAAAGAAATGCGGACATAAGCGTAACCATAGGGTTCCAGTTAACTTTTGTCATTAAACAATATATCACATGACTAACCTCGGGTCTGGGTAGTCCTGTGGGTACCCGGGTCCTACTCAGTACCCACCTGACCCAAGTACCCGAGTTACCCATCCCAGCCCTATTAGATACCAATTCATAAACCAGCGGTAGAAACTGTCAGTCAAACTATGCCCCTTCATTGAGACTACTCAGATGAAGAACGCATCATGTTGCAGTTAAGAGACAATCGAGCAAATAGCAACGGACTGGGTTAAAACTTTGGGACCTTTAACAATAATTTTCAGTATATTTTAGTCTTAGTGAATGGACGAGGATAAATGTAATCATACTAGACCAGAACAAACTTTTATAGAATCTTTCGCAAATGAATATATACATGATCCATACCTGGTTCTGAGTCATCTCTTGAACCATAATGCTCAGATTCGGAAAGAGACATAGTAGAATTTGCTGACTCAGTAGATTCTGCCTCGTAGCTCTCTGCTGTACTGCCTCCGCTGTCGAGGGGACTGACATTGTCAGTTGACCGCATCTCCTGTAATGGTAAATGTAACACTCAAGGTCTCTTTGAAAACAAATCAAGTGACAATTTAAAAAAGAAATTGGTTTACTGATGCATGATTCAACAAATGAAAAGTAAAAACAGTAAAATCAGAAAAGAAATATTTTATACCCATTCAGGCAAATGCCCCCAAAATACAAAAAGATAATCATAATTGTGTACACAGCCAGACCACATGAACTGCAACAAATAAAGATAAAGTTTGAAGAAAGAATAAATTGGAAATGTCTATTTTCTTCTTCCTGCCCTTTTGAAAAATGACAGGGATATTCACACACAAAAATTCATAAACCATGAAAACATATTTATCCTAGTATACAAGCTCCATGATCCAAAATGACAGCTCTAAAATATTTCGGATGTATATATATTTCACCCACCCAAGTAAAAATGTTGAACAGTAGAATGTAATCTCTGAAATATTAATTTTCTATCTTAATTTTCTGTAGATAAAACTGCACGGCAGTGTTGGGCAGTGTTTGAACTTAAGGGGTAACTAGGTCAATATAATTATTTCATCTAACAAGATAAAGGCATTTCAACACACAAAGTAAACATTATTTGCCAACAAACCCCGACTCACAAGGTATTACATGCTCTTGAACACAATCGCCATAATTCAGCTGGGTCAGATAATGAAAGGTCGCATAATGGTTGCTATGGCAACCAAAAGTATCTCCCCCCCCACACCCTCTTAGTAACTAACACAGGTGGTCGTATCACAGCCTACTATCAAATAACAAAGTCACAACATCACATTATTATCAATGTACATGATATGTGCTGTTAAGTCTCAAGAAACATATCCACCCAGAAAAGGACATTCATTTCTCATACATGCATGAGCTGCTGCAGCTATCGATTTACTGCAGCATGATTTGCATATCAATGTCTCCAACTGCCTGCAACCCAGAGTACACACTCCCTGTAGTTCCATAACATGTCACGACATGTCAACACTGCCTTGCCATGTCCGCTGCATGCACATATGAATAGAACTGGTCATGCAGTCAGTTTCTTCACAACAGATAGCTGACATTTGTAGATTGAGAGGTAAACAAATTCACTCTCAGCTGCACACTGCAAAATGACCTAGAGGTCAACCAGAGAAGATTACAGCCAATCAGAAACAGCCAGCATATCACATGATATGAAGCTCCTGGTTGGCAAGGTGCCAACTGCCCTGCCAGGCAGTTGAGATCTCAGTCCAGGATTATGCTTCTCGAACAATCTTGAGCTCTGTAAATGCATTTTCACTCATACCTCTGAAAACTCTGACTCAACCATATCAGGTAAGCTCCTCTCAAACCCCTCTCCTTTGGGTTTGGGCAATAATGCAAAACACAACTACTAATGATTTTTTTGACAATCATTGTGGAAAGGAGGAATATGTGTCAAGAGCTATTTATAGTGACCTGCTTCATCTGACCTTCACCTTGGCGGCAAAGGGCAGGCATTTACATCAGTCCACCTAGCTCTCTACCGAGTGAGCCGGTAACATTCACCGAGATTTCAGCGGCAATGAGATAATTTCTCACCATATTGGCAATTTATGACTTTGCTTAAAGAATATCGTCATGCTTGTTGAGAGCTAGTGAGTTTAAGAGCTCAGCTGATATTTTATCAAGGTGAAATCTTAACGGAGATTACAACAGGAAAATTTCCTTCACATTTGTGATATGTTGCTCCTCAAAAGGACAGTTGTCCAATCCTTCCATGATGGCTATGAATAAAGTTACAAAACTTGGACTGATAGTGTGTTGTTATTTATGAACATGGATATAAATTTCTATTTCGGAATACTGTGTGAAGAAGAACTATGCTAATTATCATGAGAAAAAGTGGCATGAAATGAAACTGCCAAGACAGCTGTTTGCCCTACAACACCGCAATCAGAGTAATATTTTTTAAATCAATTTTTTCATGTATTTTGAAGGAAATCCCTTTCCATTTGATTGCGTGCCATATCCCTTCAGCCTGAATCGCTGATACCTTAAATACTATCTGATTTATTACAGGCTAGATTAGATTGTTATAGTGTAGGAATAACAGTAACTTCATGCTCAAACTATTGTAAATAGTATCTGTAACGCCTCAGCTATTATATATGACCTCAAACACCAGAGTTTTATGTCAGATTTTAAAATACTTAATAGCTAAACTGACAAATAGTGATAAGCTCAAAACAACGAAAATTTCAGACTGAACATCAGAATCATTACTATTGTACCATAATGATAGAATAAAGTTAATAAATATATAGCACAACAGTACTTGAGTCGCAACACCAACACACAATGTTGCTTGTATTTCATCCCAATTTACCTACAATAATGACACTGTTCATTTTCAGAGTATAAACAGGACCATCAGCAGAGCTTTCATTCATGTACGTTTAACTGTAAAACCACATACGTCGGAAGGATACTTACAGACCTGTCACAACCTTCATACACAATGAATAAGGTTCTTATTCGACATCAAACTCCCAAAGTTTGTGCCTATAGCACATCATGATCATACACTTGTTAATTTATTAGAAGACGCATAAAACAGTTCCAGAAGAATTCTGTGGCTAAAATTTCAAAATACTGTGGAAAATACATACTGTTTCGTCATAAATCAATAGAAACTCATTTTCCTTCTTTAAATTTGTTTATCTCTTAATTTAGACAATTCCCGTTTGGCTTAACATGTTTGACATGTCAACTTTATGTAGTCATAATACCTCAAGAATGTTTAAGTCAGAATTATTATCTAAAATGTCATACTGAAGGATTCATATTTTGTATGCTTGAATCATGTCAAATGTTTGGGCATCATTCGAGTGCAAAATTCAATAAAAAAGCTTGAAAATAATGAAAACAAGTGTATTGATTGAAACAAAAAGGCAGAGTCCTTGATTTTCTTAAAGTCTGCAGTGACATTTTATGCAAATATTTTCTGCAAACATGGAAATACATAATTTGTCTGGGCCTGATTAAAGCAGTGGTAGATGCCATTGGTCATATCCAACTGGTCCACTGCTCATTCTGAACAAGTGATAAATGTAAAGTAACCATGGTAACTACTTTTAGGGTAAAACAACTAGTCTATGTACATCTTCTCTAGCCTCGTCCTAACGGATGACTGACCGTGTGTAACAATATTCAGTAAGCTGAAAGGACACACACAATAGAAGTTTCAGAGAGATGTAATTTTTCTGACAGACCGACATGGATCATATTAGAATTTATTCCAAGACAAGTCAGGCAGGGTAAGAAAGTAATGAGGGTCCAGGGCCCCGTTCCACAAAGCTATCTCAGCACTACGACTATTGTAAGCGTATGTTAAAGTATGGGAGTTACGATCATCTTAGCGCTAAGATGGCTTTGTGCAAGTGGCCCCAGTTCTTTTTTTAAAATTAGATTTGAATTTTGACAGTGCCACTTTCACCAGAGCTCCAGATAAGCTGCGCATCTGCGTGAAATACGCATCAGAAATGCAGAAATGCGCAGTAAAATATAATCCAAGCGTATCAAATACGCAACGAACATAACAGATATGCTACAAAAATAAAACTTGTGCGTATCATCAAAATATTGTGAAGTAACCCTGCGTATTCGATTAGCAAATGAGCAACTTATTTTGAAATTATAAGTTGGCATTCCGTCAACCTTGCCAAACTCCACGATGACAGTCAAATCATGATAATTTGCCATCACACTTTCTTGTGGAAGTATCGTTTTATTATTTTGTCCTATAAAGCTCTCGAACCCACACGACACCAGTTTGCAGGGACTAGATGAATAGTGTTTTTAAATACTTAACTTAAATACCCACATGTGTAAAAACGAGTAGGTAACAGAAATTTGAATACGCAGATAGAATTACTGATACCCAATGATTTTAAAATGCATGGGTAAAATACCCACAACACCAAAAGCTTATCTGGAGCTCTGTTTCACTTCATGTTTTGAACACTTCAAATTTGCATATTTTTACCATTAATCAATGAGAATGACTATCATCATGTAATGATAAGTACTGCATGAATAACAATACATCATACATTACATCAAACAAAACATTTGCATTCAACATAAAATGTTTCATTCCAATTGCATGTCCATGTATTCCTTTCTCTTTCGCTCAAGAGGACATATTGTAGATTGCCCATTGTAAACTCGAGCTTATCAGCAACAGCTGTGTCGTTGCCTCATTACTTGATGACAAAAATAGATTTCATACAATGTTGGTTGCCATGGAAACCACATTTTACAGCAAAATTAATTTTGCGGACAGTCTCTTTTCATTACTAGGCAGTGTTTGAAATAAGGCACACAATTCTAGCATCCATGTCATAGGCCTAATGGTACGTAAGAAAATACACATATGGGGCCCCAAGATTTATTTACATAATTTCGAAATCTGCAAAGAGCGAAAAAGATCTGGGTAAATTCAAAATCACTCTTCAAGTCAAGATTGTTGCATTTGTTATTGAAATTGAAGTGCATAATAAAAATTGAAGCTTACATAATAAAAAATCGTTTCAACATGGTGCAAATTTTGGGCACAATACTATCACAATATCCAATGCATGAAAGGGGAGTATTCCTGAATTATCATTGATGTAATAGTTATATACCCTATTGGCAGTGTTAAGTGCCCTGCTCTGATCAGCACCCACTGACCAACTTCCAGATGAGAGACGTATACTACAACTGAAATTTTAAATAAGAGTCAATACTTTGTGTATATTACAGATTGCTCTTACAGAAAACAACAGCACAGTGAGTGAGAATGGGTATAAGATTGCCTAGCAACTATTATTTAAAATGTTTTAGTTTCACAGACATTTGAACTTAATTCTATTCCCAACATCTTGATCTGACAACAATTCTAGGTTGTGTATAGTCTTAATAAACACCCTCGTTTGTCCATTTTTAATTACCCAAGACACTTATTACACGAACAGCTTTAGATATAAGCTCTAGTCCTGTAGTCCTTGCCAAGGTATATGGACAAGAAGAAATTTGTCATTTTTATGGGTTTTCTTATCATAATAAGGACCAGTGGACTAAAAGTGTTAGTTTCTACCGCAGATGAATATGGTATAGCCATATTTCCAAGTAAAATATTTCACTCAACAGAAGATTCAGGTACTATCACCGAAATGAAACTCACAAGCAAAGGTGATCAAGCAGGGTTTTAGATTGTTTCATCTGCTAGAACAATGACTGATTTATCATAAAAAATGGAAATGTTTCCTTTTGGTAATGACATAAAAGAATGTCCTATCCAACTTTCCTAAAAACATGGTAATGTAAGAATGACATTTGTCTCCAGCAACATCAATACCACTGACCATATTGTGAATGAGGGATTCAATCCCCAAACCACTGGATCCTGGTAACTAAAGGTAGACAACTTTTATTGAGTGAGTGGTGATATTTCACACCATTGGGCAGCACACAACACTATACTATTTGTTAGTTAACCTCCATGATCACAATAAACATTGTGATAAATTACTATGAAACATTCATTGACATGATTATAATACAGAGATAGAATAGTAATCGAACTGTTAATTCTGAGATGGGCTAAACAAATGTCCATGTTTACTTACATATTTTCCATATTACAGAGTTCCTCAAACAGAGAATATGCTCCACAATAATAAGCCCTTTTCAATCTAGATCCAGACATTTTAATTAATCCTGTCCGATATATATTAATAGCAGTCCGAGATATAAGTCTCAGCGTTAGAAACTGGCACTAGTCCTATAGTCTTTGCCAAACTGCCCAATAGTTAAGGTATCGTAAGGACCAGTAGAAATTTGCCATTTTTAAGGGTTTATGTTATCATAATAAGGACTAGTGGACTAAAACGAATAGATTCTACCACTGAGTCTTATTTCAGGTGTGTATCAAAGATGAACACATAAAACTGAACGCCATGAACATAATCATTACAATAAAAGAGAAGTATAGACATGCCACTCCCACACATCAAAACCACCATTTAGACTGCCCTCCATCTCTGTTTGGGATTGCTACTTGGGTAGCCAGTTACTAGCAAGGTATTATTAGGAGTGATGCAATATGCCGGATTTCTGCTCAAGTCCATGACAAAAAGTGACACTTGTTCAAACATTCTTCCATGTGGCCAGTTCATTTGCAACCTGACTCTAACACGCGTATCTTTTGTCATACATGGAATACAACTATTCATAATTCTTCCACTGTAATAGTAATCTGATTATCTCATACTGTGTGCATCTTTTAAATCAGTGTAAACTTTGTGACTTGTCACAACCACACTGAACACACTGATGTAGGTTACTGGTACGTTAGAAGACACACAGCACATCAGCATGGTCACTTAACTCCAGGACATAACATAAACAAGTCTACTTGTCTGAATATTCAGTACATAAAAGCAAATACCGGTGTGCTGAACCAGGGGTTTATCTTGACCTGCTTAGAGGCTGATATTCATCTCAAAGTCTGCAGCTAATGTCAGCAAAAATCCAAAATTGGAATTGAATTTCCCAATTCATGTTGTTATGTCATAACTGATGTTAATTAGGTTAAGGATTTGTAGAGGTGACGCTTATTTCACTCATAACAGGATCAAGAAAAAGGATTAAACTTATGTTCAGTTCAGTGTGTGCACTTTTAATGCAGTTTTACAATCAATAGTATTATGACACTCCACTTCAATAAATGTATATCCATGTTATTAACATTGTCAAACAAGATTCTGTTGACCCAAACTAAGATAGATATACTGAAAAAGACTTTTAATCCCAAATGATTTTCTTCTTGATTTTACGAGCAATAGTTATGATATTCTGCTTGTATGGGCGTAAGTCATCCGCATACAGATGTTAATTGATATACTTATAAAATATTGTTTTCAAAGGGAATGAGATCCTGAACAGACACAATCCTTTTTTCACATCATTGTATTCAGACTAAATCAATTCAATGATTAGTTATTATTTAAAAATGGAACTGACCAATCAGATCACCATGTAGACATTTTGTAGCAGACTTTGAAAGTAAAATAATTGCTTCAAACATTTGACAAGTTTTAAGGATACCCAAAGTTCTGTGTGTAATTAATGTTTGCTCACGGCATGTGACATTTTCTATACTTCAAACAGCCACATACCTTGCAGCATGTGTCTATTTGTCATCAATGAGAATGTTTTGAAAACAGAGCCATGTTTTTGCACAGTGAACATTTGGAGAATACTGCTATAAATAAAACAACCTTTCTCATGTAACAACAGCTTTCACAAATTAAGTTATTTCATAAAATGTCAACTGGAAATGTTTCAAATTTGCGCACAAGTAAAGACATGCTGAGTCACAAACGTGAAATTTAATTGTATAGTGAGCTGAATGTGAATCGCTTCATTAGCGATAGCCAAATATCTCATGTCAGTAACAAGACACTTCTCAAACCATACTGGGCTTGAAACAAGCTGAATTAAACAAAAAAATGGTTTCCAACAATAAACATAAAAACATAAATAAAACATTTTTTGACTGAATATTGTTAACATGTAAGCTTATTTCATTTACATACAAAACTACACAAAAATATATTTGATTGCGGCATTTTATCAAGGATGGCTTTTTTTAGATTGAATTTTATGACCCAGCAATGAATGATGCCAAAGGTTCAGAATATTTGTAACGAGCAATATCGCAAATATAGTTAGTTTCTGTGCATGTCAGTCATCAATTTATATGCTGTCATAGATAACAATGTTAACAAATGCAACCTTTCAAAATGAGGAAATTACCAAATGCAAAATTATGAATATTTAACTGTACTCACATCTTGTCGGTGGGATTCATACTGGGTGTATGTTAAAACCATAGCACAGAAATCCATGAAGTCTTCTTTAGTCCTTTTCTTTTTATGAGGTGATGTGCTCATCTGAAAAAAATGATTTCACATGGATATAATGAGCTCTTTTCAGAAATGAAAATATAAATTCATCCCTTGAAGAGTTCAAGTATATGAATGACCAAGAGTGTTCGAAATTAAAGGGGTCTTGGAGGTCTAAGGTAACTGAGCTAGGGATCCTGTAAATCTTTTACTTTTAACTTTACAGGGTTGTGGCAAGGACCAGTGTTCAAAATTTAGCATGAAAATCAAGGTCATGTCATAACCCTATGCGAAATATTTAAAATTTACTGGGTCCCGAGTTTCAAATACTATAGGAACAAACCTCAAGAACGACCTTAATTTTGAACGCTGCAAAGACTTCTAGACTTTCCAGCTTCCAACACCGTTCTATGATCAGAGCAGGGAAAACAGTGTGATTGAGAAAAAAATATTATGGTACAGTTACAGAGGGGGGGGAATTTAAATTCAACTTTGGTCTGTCTTTGTTTGATGGGAATGGACACACTGATGTAACATTGCCATGCTACATGTTAAGGAATACATTACCTTATAACTTTAGTTTCATAGTCAACTTGGCAACAAAAGCTGAATATTTACTGTGTTCAAATTTCTTAGAATAAACACAGAATGTATGCTATCCATTAACTGCAAGACTGACGTGTGTTTCCAGATGAATACACACACAATCATTGAAAAACAATCATTACAAAACTCTAAGGAAAGCAGCGTTAGAAATTGACACTTATCCTATAGTCCTTGCCAAACTTCCCAATAGTTAAGGTATCATTAGGTACTAGTAGAAATTAGCCATTTTTAAGGGTTTTGATACATGTTATCATCATCTGCACCAGTGGACAAAAACTGTTAGTTTCTAACGCTGGAAAGTAATTTCAGAGTGATGCAACCAAAGAATGTGAAATGGGTTTGGGGGAAGAAAGTGATGCCATCACATTTTCAAGGGCAACAGCAGTAAGTTATCTCAGTGAATTTCAAGACAAAATTTAATGACATTTCAAAACTTCATGATTTAATCAACTTTGATCATGTTGACTGGACATATCATTCATCTGGGCCTATATATCATTACTAAATATCAAAGAGAAGTAGCTAACTACATTCTGGACGACAGTCAGCCAATATCCTAGGAAATTAACTGATCTCTAACCCTGTATTGGTCGAGATTGTCTGACAAACACCCCCTCCCCATCTACCCCTCCATTTGTTTACACTACGTCATCTCATTATATATTCACACAGCTGTCCGCCATCTTGTTTGGTGACAGGCGAGTAGTAGAGGGAGCAACAATTTGACATGGTGTTCACGCAATTACAATCAACATCAGACATGTATTTTTGAGTAGATCTACTGTGAATAACATGAAAGTCTTGACTCACATACATCACTCAAACAATCCTAAAACTGTTCTTTCATGAACAGTGGAAACTGCAGTGAGCCGTGTGCCGGGACTTTCCGGGAAGCGGGATAAATGGGGCACTTGCCTAAAGTTTTTATCTACGACGACGTAATTAACTCTAACATGGCTCCTTACAATGACACTGTCAAACAACTGCTTATACACACTCTTCTTGAAATGGTATTCTTTTAATCCTGACGAAACGACTGGTTTGATTTCGTCACTAGAACAATGAATTTGTTTTGGGGTTTATGCAGTTGACGATTGCACTTCCAGTAGACCTACTTACTGATAATTTCTACATTATCTTGGACTAGTGTCTCATGTTTCGGTTTGTAAGTCTATCACTCAATTTGTTCCCATCAAACAACATACGTGATGCGAGATATAAGACGATCCGTGAAGCACTTCAATGACACCGAAAACAACTTTCACAAATGTCAAAGTCTCACCACTTATTAGCACGTTACTGTCTCGATATTCATTTAACAAACTCAAAATGGAATAAAACAACTTTACAAAAAAGACTGTTGACATAAAAATCGAGATATGACCCACCAATCCAGGATAATTAGTTACACCATCATATAATACAAATATGAATCTTTGTCCAGGAAACCAACACTCAACCAAAACAACACAACATTCGACTTTAGTAAATATCCGATATACTTTATCAAATGAACATAAAACGCTGAAAGATCTCATTTGCGCTGGTCCATTTTGACGCAGTCACCACTGAAGGTTTCGACCAAGTTGAGGGAGTAAGATATCCGCCATCTTGCTATTCAACAAAGTACAGCTAGTTTGAAACCGATTTACAGTTAAAGGAAGCTACACCTACCTCAGAATTTGACTGTAATGACCTCCGTTTGTTCCGTGGAGCTGAAAAATACAAAAATCACATACATTTAAACGTCAGTAACATTTTGTGCAGATAGTTCATTGTGAGCTTGACGGGAACATGACCCAACCACTGACAAGCAAGGGACGAGGACAGACATCATGTCCTAGACCGATTTCACGAACTATAAACGAAATCTGTCGTAAAGACTGGAAGAAATAACAGTAAAACAGATGTATCTGACATATAACCACAACTGTACCCAGAAATTACGAACAGTGTAGCCGTGTGCTGAAACGATTCTCCACTCGACAATATGATTTTGCTTTTGGCTGGCCAGTTCCCACTGTTCCTCAATCTGTCTGTGGTTTTCTCGGCTAGTTCCGTCCAAATACAAATATTTTCTCTGAAATATGAAGTAAATACCTTTGAATACTTCTTCTGTCATATTGGAAGGGAAATCCACCGCTACAGATTGTTGTAAACAGCAGCGAATTACACTCAAATTGCAGTCACCGACTACACAGCCAGGCATCCAGTCAACTCAACGCTATGATTCCGTTTCGTTCAGGTCACGACATCCAGAATCTGCATAGTCAAGTGACCCCGACCTTTCTAATTTGCATACCGGCAAGGTCATTACGTCATTTATCAACCGATACCACCTTCATCATCTATCATGCTCTGCAAGCGAAACGAAGTTTTCTGAAGATCACAGGTAATACTATCTGATCCATTACCACCCGTAGAAGTTGCACGAAACAGTATTTTCACGCACATGCTTCTAAAAACCATGAAAATTGATGGTCGAATGGTTGCTTCCTTCGCGAGCTTTAGGGAATCCATCTTGGATACGTCATTGATCGCATAGAAGCATGTTGGGATATGTGGGCGGGGCTAGTGACGCGGCTTGATTGATAGGGCCTGTGTTGTCATGGTTTATGTATGTCCCCCATCTCTTCTTTCCTTGCTAATGTCGCATGTGATGTCGGAATACTAAACAAGCCATGATCATGGTTACAACAGTGTCTGTTTGAACTGAAAAATGGTAATGCTCACTTGTGAAACAACAAAACCTTTATTGACCTATGGCCAGTAGACTTTTGTGTTCAGCCTCGCATTCGAAGAGCTCGGTCAATGGCGCGCAACACATGTGTACGGCAGCCTTCAGGTCTCTTTAGAGAGTTCAATGGTGGGTCTAACCCTATATGCTATTTGGCTTGCTTTTATATGACCTGTTGATCATCGACAGCGCGTCATACTGACAGAGCACATCACTACAATATAACTGAAAATTATTTACCGCCTTGACTAGGCTGATCTAGGCGATATTTCTAGTTCTATTTATATTATGCTGCTAAAATAAATAAGGATCAGTGTATTGCCTCTTGGTGATGAATGTTTTTTCTAGGTCACATATTGTCATATACTCGTAATATAGTAAAGTTACAGACTTCACGGGGATTTCATTGATGCATGATATGTTCTCAGGCAAGGAAAATATTTGACACTCACCCGAAGTAGAATTCTATAATGTTCCAATGTTTGACATTGTTTTTGCCACAGTCAGCAATATTCTAGCATTTTTATAAAACCCTGTTGTTAGTAAAGTGTGGGCTACCAGATAAACCACTGGCAGGGTAACCATCTGGTGATGGCCATGATAATGAAGTCATACAGTGTCATCATACAGGTTGACACCCCCATTCAATTTAGGTGTCTTTCAACATTGCTTACAAAGCCAGTAGGCCTAGTGCTGGGGAGCAATTTTAACCTTGATCCCCAAAGGTTTGTTCCCATTCAAAGCCTAAAAGAATGAGTGTTGTTTTGATTACATGACCCACCCTTGCTATAGTGCAACGCCAGTGGGGTTTGTGCTTTAGAAGAGATCCCTAGCGACCTGTGCTGGTTGATTGGTTTGTTGTTTAACGCCGCACTCAGCAATATTCCAGCTATATGACAGCAGTCTGTGAATAATCGAGCCTGGACCACACAGTCCAGTGACTGATATCATGAGCATCGATCCCCACGATTAGGATCGATGACATGCATCAACCAAGTCAGCGAGCCTGACCACCCGATCCCGTTAGACACCTTGTACGACAAGCATAGTCGCCTTTTACAGCAAGCATGGGTTGCTGAAGACCTATTCTACCCCGGAATCTTCACGGCAACTGTGCTGGACTCAAGATGCGGCCAAATGGATTGTGTGGCCAGTGTTGCTCACAATATCTGTCACTGGATTGTCTGGTCCACTCTGGATTGTTCACAGGGTTTTTATATTTGTCACAGGACCTCCCCTCCGGACCTCTAAGTTCCTTTTTTTTGTGTTAGGGAGCCAAGCGGCTTCTAACATGAATATTTTAGGAGCGAAACCAAATTTTAAGGAGCCAACAGATATTGTCACCAGTTATGTTGACTTTTAGGTAGCCAAGTGTTGAACAGTAAATACATTAAGGTTGCCAATCATAGATTTAAGTCGCATTTGGCCACCCAGATGGTTGCTACTTTGAGGGCTGCACTCACTGGTGGGTGTTCTTAGCTGGGACAAGTACCCACGATAATTATCCTTGTGTCTGGGGGATGGGGGTTGAAGTTTATGGCAGTATTGCTCCCAGACCTGGCGGGTAGCCAGGTGCGCGACAGCTATGCCCAATTTTTTAAAAGTACTGATTTAACTTCGAAATTTTACTGAATCTGCCATCTTGTTTATTTGACTTATTGACTTATTACATTTCTTGGTGTGAATGTTGTCCAAACTGCACGAAATTGCTTAAAATGCAATCAAATGTTTTAAAAATTTCGGGGGGGGGGCATGCCCCAGACCCCCCTAGACTTTTCCTCTTTTTTCGGGAAAACCTGCTCACATCCCTGTAATACCAGGACCGGTGGTTAGTCACATGATATGTTGTTTAGTGACAAATCAATGAAACTACATGGTTACACTACAGGTCACTTATGTTCTCATTTCCCTCTGACTATGTACGCATTCCTACTGACTTGTAAATGTTTTGAGTAAAGATAAAGCTTCAGTCAGCTTCAGTGAATTCATGTTCAGATCATTTTATACATGTATCTAAATAGTTTTAGCCAGGGATCCAGTAAATAAATTCCTAATCAGTCATTTTGCCCCCTATTCTTTGAGACCTACAATGGGTACCCAGGCAGGGTCAGGTAATAGGGGGTTGGGTACCTGGGTCATAGACTAGTTCATTGTTAGATTTTCTAAAGAAGTTAATATTTGATGGTACTTTTTGACGCATGATAGCCATTGTCTGATGCAAAACTTGTAAGTATAAGAAAGACAACACCTATCTGTCAGCCATTTGAGCATGTCTTGATAACATTCTCCTGCTTGAACCTACAATGTCATGTCACAATGCTTCGTCTGGTCACAGGGCTTATATGGATGACACTGGCCTGGTTCCAGTGATAACCTCTACTATCGCTAAGAAGAGGCAGGGCGTTGCTTTGCAAGTCTTGTTATGTGCAGAAATAGACCCCACCCTTCAATCAGATGCTATTACCTGTACAACATATCTTATTGATAGGGAAATCTTCACCATGTTCACGTGTCAGGATTTCAGATCTGTTCATTTTCAAGGACATCGATTGTCATTTAAAATGTTCTATCAAAAATTGATTTAATCATTAAAATGCCTAGAATATTCACTGCCTGTTAAACGGTAGTGTCAAGATTTGTATCGCATATCTTTAGTCAAAATTGCTTTGTTCCATCCAATCAGTCATTGAATAAAATCAATTTCTATTTTTTTCTGTTAAACATTAAAAAAAATTGTGTATCAAACAACTATGACTGCACGGTATTACCAGTGTACTGCAATAGGCTTTTCAAACCCTATGTATTGCAATAGTTTTTCGGAATTCCAGTATATTGCGTAACAGATAAATAACCAATTTTTGAACTTATCCTATCTCACCATATATGCATCTTTTTTCGATCCTTAGGTGCAAATGTGCTTGAACAAAGTTTACAGCTTTACATTTCACCCGAACACATCCCAGCATCACAATGGTCACCACCCAAACAAATGGGTCACACACTGTAATTCCGTGTGTAGGACCTTTCATGACTTGATCACCTGACTACCCCTGCAACATGATTCTCTTTCGCACCGTCACCTTGCGGAGACGTGTAGCATCAGAGCTAAACTGAAAAGCTCTCCTAGCCAGGGTAAAGATAAGATGCCCTTGTAATGTTAAAACAATGGGGAAATTGGGAAATTTGTACTAGCCCACAGGAATTACCAATAGCCCAAGGCTTGTGGGCTAGCAGGCAAGTGTTAATATCTAACCCTGACGTGTATTGAGTTCTAAAGAATACAATTTTGTTTGTTTATTATTTTTGTGTGAGCTACCTCCTCATTCGTAATAACATTTTCCACACTAATTAACTAGTCTGGATGAAGAGGAAGGGAATGGAACATGATAAACGCCTGGCCTGTAAAAATTGCGGACATACTGACTCCACTACTGATCCTCATGATCAATGCTGTGATTGTCATCTGCCCGAGGCATGGGCGCTAACTGATCGTAAAAGTCCACTTTCCACCCCTGCCGAACAAGGCCGGAATTTCTTGGTTCAATCGTAGCGCCACCACTGGCTATTATGAGTTATGTCCCTTCTATGATGTCCCTCCTATTGACCAATCGACCGTGAAGATCTGGGGTAGAATAGGTCTTCAGCAATCCATGCTTGCCATAAAAGGCGAGTATGCTTGTCGTAGGAGGCAACTAACGGGACCGGGTGGTCAGGCTTGCTGACTTGGTTGATGCATGTCATCGATCCCAGTTGCATGTATTGATGCTCATGATATTAATCACTGGATTGTCTGGTCGTCATATAGCTGGAATATTGCTGAGTGTGGCGTTAAACAACAAACCCACCAACCATAAATGGAAGGCAAACAAAGCTCACTGTCAGGCTTTTGACAACACCAAGCCGACTACTGCTCCTCCTCAACAGGTATCTGCAACATCTGAGATCTTTTAGACGTTTAAGGGCTTAGACGTCTTTGGCTACGGATCTCTCTGGTCCTACAAGTTGGCTGACTGGTCATCTCAATTCCGGCCGGCCACTTGGGATCTTACTGCCTCTGCGAAGTATGAACCATTTGCTGAGAAGCACATTGAGTTGATCACCCTTAAGATGGTTTTTCTCCTGGCCCTTACAACTTCTGCTAGAGCGAGTGAGATCCATGTTCTTAATGTTAACAGGGTACAGTTTGAAATAATACACAATGGGAAGGTTTTTACGGGGCTTTGCTAGGACCTTATCGTGAAGAATCAGCTTCCGGGACGGTCAGACAGGTTGTTTACCATCGCGTTGTTGGCGTTTATCATCAACACAGATGACCATGGAGACATCTCCTTATGCCCGGTTAAGGCTCTCTGCATCTACCTCAAGGTTGCGACGCAACTTCAGCACTCCTGCAAGAGACTCTTCATCCCTCTTTCCGCAGCAGCCACAATGGAAGCCTCCCGTACCACAGTCTCCTTTGGGCTTCGCTCGACTATCCTTCATGCCTACGCCTTCGCTGGGTTGCCTCCTCTAGTGACCTCCAATCCACTAGAGCAATCGTCTCTAACATGGCCTTGCACAGCAATTGCACCCTGTCCATCAGCGGCTTTTGTCGGTGGTGTTCCAAGCCCTTACCTCTGCTTTAGGCATTTATTGTCTCAGTATTGGTTGATGACTGTCTTGTGTATGTTGTCGATCATTCCTCTTCTCGTCTTACCATGCTTCAATCCTGTGGGCGCGATTGGTAGCATTGACAAAGCGTTAAAAGAGATGCCAAGCTGGCTCACCCTATTGTCCGTCAGCGGTAGTGGTGAGGTCTTGTAGAACTGATTGCCTGGAGATCACTTACGGATTTGTTGTAAATCGTATGCTGAATAAGTCCCTATTCAAAACAACACGTTCTTTTGTGTAACAATGTCCTGCATGAAAACATGTAACACATGTTACACCCAATTTCGTGATGTTAATTCCAACTATCACGAAGGGGCACACCGTCTGTTATGGATTTCTTACCCACTCACGAGTTGTTGTCTTTCTGACACAAGGCAGTGTTATAGGTTCTGTATTTTTATCACTGTTTAGCACCAGCTTCCTCGTGTCTGTCTCACGGTTGTAGTCTCCACGGACTCACATATCTGCACCCACTGTCCAACCCTGGAATAAATGCAAAGTGTGAGATAGGATAAGTTTAAAATGTACATTAAATTGTATATTTATATACTTATACTATTTCACACGCTATATGCCCACCCGACCATCACTGCATCACAGCTCCTCTAGCCTTTCAGCTCGAAGAAAGAGAATGAAGTGGCAGGTGATCAGATCGTGTAGGTTGCTGTGCACGGGATTATAGTGCGTGGCCAATCTCATTAAAATCAGATCCTAGTTCTCGCTATGCCAAACAAAGATCTGAGGACATCCCATTAAGGGTCACGTCAGAATGACCTTTCATCCAACCAATCAGAGCGTCGCTTTCTAGATCATGAAAGTGACAGTTGGAATGTGTTTTCTTATCATGCAACCACGAAATATTTGACACGGGGTATTCCGACCTACCGTTATGGGTTTTGTGATTATATCCATACAATCTAGGCCATCTATAAGCCATTCCAGAATGTTCTTCTTATCAGTTTTATTTTTTTTAATCGAGAATACGTCAAAATATGTTTTGAAGCGTAGTCGCCAGTTTGAAACTAGTGTCTTAAAGCTCAAGAAAGCTGCCTTCTGATTGGCTACTGTCGATTTCTTGTCAGTCATTTCATTGGTAGGTCAAAATTCGTGAAAGGTCGTTCTGACGTGACCCGTAATGGGATGTCCTCAGATCTTTGTTTAGTGGCAGCGAAAACTAGGATCTGATTTTAATGAGATCGAGTGCATGGCCCATTTGTTTGTGTGGTAACCGTGGTGATGCTGGGATGTGTTTGGGTGAAATGTTTTTGGAAGCTGTAAAACTTCAAGCACATTTCCACATAAGGATTGAAAGCAATAGGAAGACATGCATAGTGTGAGATTGGATTAGGATATACATATACGATTTAATGTAAAGTTTTGTCATTATTTGTATTGTTTAACCTAAAATCAACACAAATTCGTTCACAAATAATGTTTCCTTTGAAATGGATTGACGAGCCCATGGAAACGCAGAAGTGATTTTTCTCTCATGGCAGTGACTGACCATACTGATCCTGACATCACAGTATTCACTTTAGTATGTTGAAAATAGGATCTGCATGTACAATCACTGTCAATCAGTGTCAAAAGCTTTAGCTTGCAGTATATTGCAATACACATCCCAATACTAATACCTGTATAGCATGTTGCAATTGTTTTGCCAATACACAACCCTAGAAACAACTTGTTTTTGCCGTTTTTAAAGTAAGAAGAATTTTTTGTTGTAAGTTAAGACACTTGATTGATTGTATATTGAAGATGACAGGCCTCAAAGTTGCGACTAAAACGGTCGCCAATGTGACCTAAATTTCAATTTGTCTACTGTCTAAAATTCAGAGGTAGAAACGACTGCCTTGAAAAATATCTTGTGGCGACAAAATTCTATTGCTACACATAAACATAAACATGTCTGCTACTAATTGTACTCGCAAATAATTCCTCATAGAGTCAACAATGAACCGAAATACATAAATATTAATGAAATTAGTATTTTATTTTAGTTGATAGTATATTGGATAACAAGGATATACCTATATGATCTAGTAATATAAATTGCATCATTGTTTGAGTCACAAATAACAAAACTCTAGTACAGTTTTCACTAATATACAATTCCAAGAGTAGTGCTATGACTTGTACATATAATAGTTATTTGATAAAAGATCATTTCAAATGCCTTTGGCTACCTACAATATTGGCTTGACTTCTTGATTTTACCACTGGCTACCTGGTAAAAAATACTTGTAGCCATATGACCACTTGGTAAAAATTTAAACTTTGATGACTGGTAATTATTTCAGGATAAGATCAGAGAAGTGGTTGAACATTTTGAAAGAAGAAGTGATATTGTAGTATTCTCTATTGATTAATGGCACTGATAATAGATCATGGCATTGGTTTGGGTTTAACCAATCTGTCACTGGTAACCAATCAATCATTCATGATGATTGATCGTTATAACATTACTTGGATACAGTGTATGATTTTCATAGTTACAGCAATATGACGTCGAAAATATTTTGATAACTCACACTTATTATCATGGGCAAAACATGAAACTTGGTTTGGGGCGGTCGGGTAGTCCAGTGGTTAAAGTGTTCGCTCGTCACGCCGAAGACCCGGGTTCGATTCCCCACATGGGTACAATGTGTGAAGCCCATTTCTGGTGTCCCCCGCCGTGATATTGCTGGAATATTGCCAAAAGCAGCGTAAAACCATACTCACTCACTCACTATAAGGTAGAATGCCTCTTTTCGGCTGCCAGGATCTATATATTCTAATACATGAAAATATCTTTTTTTATCAATGGTTTTCAATGTTTTTTATTTTTTGGAAGCAAATAAGAATTAAATTACCGGTCGTGCCGGCCCAGTAGGCAAGAATTTTATTTTGTTTCTGGCCAGTGATAATAAAATCTTATTAGCCTGACCTACTGGTTTGTATTTCTAGCTGGTGAATGATAATATATTAATTTCTCCTCTTACTCAGTCAGTTAAAAACTAGGGGGCACGGGCGTCGGGTGGCCAAGTTGTCTAAGGCGCTGCAATTCGCTGTGTCTAGAACCAGATCAGATCTGATCAGGCTGTTTTTTTGTTTGCAGTTGGTTACAGTGTGCTCAGTCTGTAAGAGTTATCTCCCCTGGAGTGAGCTTTATGTAGTGTAGGACCTAATATTGATTGTTGTTGACTGAACAGTGGATGTGTGGATGTCTCCCTTTATTCAGTTCGCATTCACTGATATGATGGCTCTAAGTGTTTTAATTGTTTACTCTAACTGATTACTGTCCCCAGTGTCTGACCCTAGAGCAGAATGACAGTGGTTCAATGCCCGGGCGTGTCATACCTAAGAACGTTTAAGATTTTACTAGCTGTTTCCTGTCTAACAGTAGGCATTAAGGGAATAAACAAGTACTGGTCAGCATGAATTTAGTATACTGTGTCCATCTCTGTTAAACTATGGCATGGTATCTTAGTGGGCTAGCACTATAAAACTGGCCTTAGTCCAGATGAGTTTGAGCATGCACGCACGCACGCACGCACGCACACCGCTATTAAAGTGCAATAATCTTATATGCAACGTTAAACCCCATTTGCAGTCACCTCAAATTAATATTCACGCTTGTGAAAGCTGATTGTAGGTGAGATTGAACACAGGAATCCAAAGTTATGATTAAAATAATAATATTATAACTTAATAAATCAAAATTTATCCCTTCCCACCTCACTACCAAACGTCCCCATATGTCTCTTAAAAACTTAAGAAGATGAAAATCATGACATGTCTTGCTTTCTTTCTTTACGTGACGGTTTCCGTAGTCCCACTAGACATTCATGCCTCATGTGAAGCACAGCCATCAATAGTTAATCTTCACAGATGCCTTGAAACATTTTGTTAATGCCAAAATTAATTAACTTATATTTGTTAACATGGTTGTTTCATTGTTATTTTCAGATTCATGCCTGTGCTCACAAAGAAGCTCAAAAGAAGGGAGATAACTCAGATGGATACCTTGAAGAAAATGTGGTATTTGAATAGTGGAAAAGAATCGTGAACTATTGCAAGTTTACGTGGAATGTGGTGTGCCGGAAAAATGAAGTGACCACCATATTGTTCTGTTTTCAAGCACCACGTCTTGAACATGGAGCATTTGGAGGTCCACACGGGCGACAAGCCGTTCCTGTGTGAGCAGTGCGACAACAGGATCACAACACCGGACACAGGGATGAAGGTCCAGGTGATTGTCGACACTGGAGCCAAGGTCGTCAAGTGTGACATGTGCGGTAAGCAGTTCACCTGTGCTCCTAATCTCACGGGACATATCGTTGTCCATACGACTGAGAAGCCTTACCAGTGTAGCCGGTGTAACATGAACTATGTGTCTCCAGCAGCTCTTCGCCTACACATGGAAACCCACTTGGAGAACCAGGACACTCGCAATCAGGAGAACCTGGAGAACCGCTTTAAGTGTGATGTGTGCCACAAGCAGTTCTTTTCCATGGCCAATCTGTACCGCCACAAGAAGCTCCATGACACCTCCAAGCCCTACCCTTGTGATATTTGTCAGAAGTCGTACAGCACAGAAGCTTATCTGAAGGCTCATATGTGGGAGCACGTTCCTGAGAAGCCGTTTGAATGTGAAATCTGTCAGAAAAAGTTCCCCCTGCTTGTTCATTTGAAACGTCATAAGTCTGTGCACTCTGAAGTGAAGTCTCACCAGTGCGATATATGCGGCAAACAGTTTACATCACTGGGCAATCTGAAGCGGCACAAGCTGACCCACATCGTGTACGAGTGCCACGTGTGCGGCAAGCAGTTCGTGAAGCTGAATCAGCTAAAGGAACATGTCACAGACCACATGGAACACAAACCGTTCCAGTGCGACATGTGTGAGCGGAGGTTCGCCTCAGAGGTGCTCCTTAAGGCTCATGTGTGGATCCACCGGCGCGACAAGGAGCCGTATTTCTGTAAAACCTGTAAACAGAGATTTCCTTTGTCAAAGCAGCTTAGGGAACACAAGATTAGTGTTCATGGAGAGATACCTGATCCCCCAAGGAGTAAAAAGAATCTCCGTCTGCACATCACTGAACCAAGTGCAAAGACGGAAAATGATGAGAAATCATTTGATGGCGTGGAAGAGGAAAATCTGCCTGAAGAAGAGGATGACCAAGAAATTCACTACGTGTACGAGCCAAACAAGAGGTTTCCCTGTGACGAATGTGGTAAAACATTCAAGACTGTACGGATCCGCAACCAGCATCTGCGGCTGCATAATGGCGCACGGCCATATCAATGTGATAGTTGTGGCAGCACATTCCAAACACAGACTAACCTACGAAGACACATGAAGCTCCACAGTCGAGCAAATCCATATCAATGTTCTATGTGTGACAAGTCGTACAAAACCATTGGTGCCTTGAAGACCCACATGTGGGAACACAATAACATTAAGCCGTTCCAGTGCGAGGTCTGTCACAAAAAGTTCTCCCAAGAGATGCATGTCAAGCGACACATGATTGTCCACTCGGGTGAGAAAAAATTCAAATGTGATTTGTGCCCGATGACTTTCAACCAATCAGGAAACTTGAAGCGTCACAAGGCTACTCATTTTGTGACCTTGAAGTTTCCATGTGCAGTATGCGGAAGAATGTTCAGGACAATCTCCGAGATGAAAATGCATCTTGAGGACCATAACAACACCAAGAATTTCCAGTGTCGCTTCTGTCATAGGAAATATGCCACAGCCTCCATTCTCAAAGGCCATATGTGGGCCCATGCAGAGAAACGATTTTTCTGTAAGTTATGCAACAAAAGATTTGCATCATCCGTCTTTCTTGGGCGTCACATGACCATGCATGCTCAGGAACAGAAGGAAACGTACCAGTGCCAAATTTGCAAGAAACGCTTTTTGAAACTTGGCAATTACAGATCTCATGTCAAACTCCATTCCAAATCCAAAGATGTGAGGTGTCAGCTTTGTGATACTGGTTTCACCGGTCTTCGTATGTTGGACAACCATGTGAAACAGAACCATCCTGACATTGCAATGTTTCAATGTGGGTTTTGTCCAGAGTTGTTCTTGAGACTCAGTCATCTGGAGAAGCACATTGCAGCGTGTCACCCAGACATCTTTAAGTGTGACAAATGTGACAGTAGCTTCTGTAAGCAGGACGCTCTTCTGGAACACCAGATTCAACACGGCGTAGAGAACCCTTTCCAGTGTGACCTCTGTGAGAAGGCGTACACCAAGAGAGTAAAGCTGCAGTTACATAAACGGACCCACACCAAGTCTGACGCACACACGTGTAGGGCATGCAAGCAGGGGTTTTCAACACTGAAAGAGAAGCTGGACCATCGGAACAAGATGGAGGATCTTCTTCATAAACCACATGTTTGCAGGTTGTGTGGGAAGAAATTTCTTAACAGTCAGCGTCTGGAGAGACATAACTTTATGCACACAGGGGAGAAGCCATACAAGTGTAGAGTGTGTGAGAAAGGGTTCTCTCAATGTGCTCATCTGAAGGATCATTTGAAGACACATACTGGGGAAAAGCCTTACATGTGTAACATATGTGACAAGAGATTTACTCATCCTCGATCGCTGCGAATCCATGTGGAGATGTGTAGGAAGGGCCAATTCAGAATTGATTGTCCCTGTGGCTGTGGTGATGGTAGCAAGCCTCACCAAGTGCCCAAACGGTACAGGTGTGACATTTGTAGGAAGAGATTCAGAAGAGAGAAAAACTTCAAGTCTCATATTGAAAGCAAGACCTGCAATAAGAAGTTGATATGCCCCTGTGGGTGTAATGGCAATGAGAAGGAACATGTCAAAGGTCAATCTGAAAGTGAGGCTGATCATTCTGAAAGTGAGGCTGATCATTCTGAAACTGAGGATGGCCATTCTGAAACTGAGGCTGGCCATTCTGAAACTGAGGCTGGTCATTCTGAAACTGAGGCTGGTATGGAGTCTGATACCAGAGTGGAAGATATGGCAGGAGACTCTGAGGTGTTTCTCACACATAGTTATAGCAAGGTAAGCCTTCAAGGAACTGCTGGTGGTGGCAAGAGTAAGGAAATTGCAGTGAAAAAGGAACCCAATTCCGAAGATTTACAAGGCAGTGAAGGTACAGAAAACAACGTGGAGAGCAACATGACTACAAATTATGAGTCAGATAATTCAGGACAGAAAAAACACATTGAATCATCAATGGATGAAAAAACATCTGTAGAGTGCAAGAAAGTGAAAAGTTCCTTGGAGCTTGTTGACATAATCCTTGAAGCTGCCGAGGCTTCTACAGAGAAAGAGAGTGAAGCCTCTTCAGGCAGAGTGGTTGATGAGAAAAATGTGCAGAAAGAGGTGGTAGATGTACCCAGAACATCTGCTAGACAGAATGAGATACGACAAAAGGACTATCCGTGTGAAACTTGCCAGAAGACTTTCCCCTCGTCTCAGTTGTTAAAAAGACACATGATATTCCACACAGGGGAGAGACCGTTTAAGTGTGGAATCTGCCAGAAAACCTTCTCACAGTCAAAACATTTGTCAATTCACATGAAGATGCACACCAAAGACAAGCCCTACCAATGTGCAATATGTTCCGCATCTTTCCCTCATCCCAAGGCTTACAGAATCCACATGCAAATGCACAAGGTGGCTCATGATAAGTGTCCTCACTGTAACAAAGTGTTTGTAAGCAAACCTAAGCTCTCAAGTCACATACGGGTAATCCATCCACAGCATTATTTTGAAGGGTATTCATCGACTCAAAAGCATGCTGCTGCACCAGAAATTACCGTGATTAAAACCGAGCCAGTTGAAGCTGGTGGAGAGGAATGTATAGTCCAGGCTGTGCAACAGTCCCACAATGTACTGGGTGAAAGAGTTCTCCTTAACCTGGCTGTACAAGACAAGCCTGGACTAGACTCTGTTGTTCCCGATTCTGCTGAATACAGTATTGTATATTTAGGGTCTGAAGACGATCACTTCAAATTGGGCAAGTCATCAGCATCAGTTGCAGGAACTCAAGTCATCCACATACCGTGTGATATAGGGCCGGAAGGGACGAGGAATATCAGCAGTGATTCAACCCTTAACTTCTTGGAAGAAACTGCTGATAGTGTTGTCATGGAGACAACTTCTGTAGACACACAATCTGCAGTTCCTGGACCAGACAGTGTGACTGTCATGACGACAGAGGAAGCATCAGAGGTGGTTGCTGTGATACAGGAACATGAGGCCTGGAACCAGGCTATGGTCGCCGGGCAACATGGACAAGTGGTAGATGCCCAGCCTGTACAAGTATCTTCTTTAAGCGGAGTAGAAGTGTCACAAGCGTCTTTCCTCGATGCTGTCTCTCTGGATAATGTGCGGATTATTACAACTGAGAGTGATGTTAACGGGGAAACGGTTGTTGTTAAGATTGAGTATTAGTACCCATATTCATCCAATGATAAGTCGTCGTCAATAGTTATCCTGTGATCACCTGTGAATACATGCAGTCGAATTGTCGTGTAGATGTTATTTTTAACCAGTGAATTAAGACATGGCCTGGTTCGAGCAAGAGGGAATCCAATGAGTGCTCAAACCAATAAGCATTCAAATTCATCACAAACACGACCAGTGTCCAAACTAACTGCCTGCCTTCCTGCCCATGGCTGATAACATTTCTATTGGGCTGCATGAAATTTTCCTCCACCTTCCCAACTGTTAAGACTCCTTATGTATTCAATTTTATTCAGATTTATTATTGTCATCACCAGGTCCGTCTGTCTGTATTTTGTTTCCGGAGCATAACTTGAAAACTGTGAAAACATTTTCATGCAAACTTTGCACATGAAGTTGTGCCTTTTGCTGGGGGGATTTGTCATCATCTGATGACTCTTTTCTATCTCAAGTATTTTCTTGCATTATTTCAACCGAATCAGGATGCGATTTTTCAGTATTTATAATGCCTGAATGTTGGCAGGTGACTTGGAAGACGGGCAGGCAACACTTATGGTCACCTGACCCATTGTATTGTTGGGTTTTTAAATTATTTCAAATTCTGGACACGACAATATTTCTTGTGCAACGTGTGCCACAGCCTTTTTGCCATCTTCTCTACACATTGCTATAGGCAATAGCACGGGTTCATTGACTTCCATGAGTTATAAACAGCCACATGAAATTTGTGGAAAATAGATGAATGGCAATATCAGGCAATCGTAGGGTTCGTACAAAGTTCATGCAAGGGTCATGTGATGTCCGGAAGTTATGTAGACTTCTTATTGTGTCAGTTGAAGAAAGACACATATATCACTGCTACGTGGAAAATTGTCTGCATGTATTCCAGGGTGATGAGGGACGTAAAGTCATTTATCATACCACGATGTGATGAGATGTGATGAATGATGAGATCTGCAGGGATGAGAATCTTCCGTGGATCCACAAATTTTAGTGACCACAAATTTGTGAAAATCTGATGGCTTCCCTCATAAAGTTTCAGCTGAAAAGTGAAATATCCATTCTCATCCCTGGATCTGATTTGTTCACTTGATCTTGATTAAACACTATGTATCCCGCCTTGGAGGGAAATAAATTTCTTACCGGGAGAATAAATTCCTTTTGTCCCGCCACGAACAAGACAGGCTGCATGTGGGTTTCTGAGAGGCATATTAGGTCCCTTTTACCCCCGCTTCTAAGCAGGAAGACGCACACTTTTTCTGATTCGATGAGGGTCACGTGACATAGGGCAAGTAAACCTCACCTCAATCAAACTAATATTTTCTATCAATTTTGAATTTGTTTTATTTCTATTACAATGAGGGGCACGGCTTGCCCAGTTGTCTAAGGCGCCGCATTTTGCTGTGCAGAGTTGCGTCCCTTGGGCACGCCAGAAACCTTTGATTGTGGGTTCGAATCCCGGTTCGCCCTGATTATGTTTCTAGGTCTGTCAGCACCATACCTATGCTCGTGGGTTTCACCGAAGTGGTAAGCGTCTGAGACCTGCGTCACTTCGGGTTAAGCTGACACGCCGTGATATAACTGTAATAATGTTAAAAGCGGTGTTACACCCAACTCACTCACTCACTCACCCCTACCAGTAATTTATACTTGTGGCCTACAGTGGACTGTGTTATGAAGCCAAGATGTCAGTTGGATATTAATCTAGAACTCTAAAACTTACTTGTTTATGAAAGTGCTACAATCTTATATTTGCCAAATCACTTGTAGAGGTAGAATGACTTTAGATACATATTTTGTCTCTAAATTTAGGAATGAACACGACATGTCCAAGCAGCCCACAAAGTATACCTGACACTGAATGATGTAGGATCATTTAGCTTTTATACATTTGAAGGGGACGGTATCGGAGGAAGTGTATCAAGCATGGCTTCTCTGACTCACTACATATGGCATTTCAAAGTTGTCAGTGTTTCAATAAAGGCAATGGCGTTCCTCGGCTGTTTGAGAAATAGTATACTGTTGGTCCTGAATGGGTTACTTTGAGATAGTTATGCGTTGGTCCTGAATGGGTTACTTTGAGATAGTTATGTGCTGGGCCTGAATGGGTTACTTTGAGATAGTTATGTGCTGGTCCTGAATGGGTTACTTTGAGATAGTTATGTGCTGGGCCTGAATGGGTTACTTTGAGATACCGGTAGTTATGCGATGGTCCTGAATGGGTTACTTTGAGATAGTTATGCGATGGTCCTGAATGGGTTACTTTGAGATAGTTACGTGCTGGGCCTGAATGGGTTACTTTGAGATACCGGTAGTTATGCGATGGTCCTGAATGGGTTACTTTGAGATAGTTATGTGCTGGGCCTGAATGGGTTACTTTGAGATACCGGTAGTTATTTGCTGGTCCTGAATGGGTTACTTTGAGATAGTTATGTGCTGGGCCTGAATGGGTTACTTTGAGATAGTTATGCGATGGTCCTGAATGGGTTACTTTGAGATAGTTATGCGATGGTCCTGAATGGGTTACTTTGAGATAGTTATGTGCTGGGCCTGAATGAGTGACTTTGAAAAAATGAAATATCATGAGACTGGGTAACTATTATAAAAATTATAATGATTATTATTATAGTTCCTTGACTATTTGGCTTACTTGTCAATGTGAAGTTTGAGATAACAAGGGGCAAAAAGTACAACGTATCTGATATACTCTACCGAAACTATTACATAGGTTCCATCCTCCATTTTGTCTTATATAAGGTTTTGTGTCTGCCTTCTGTGAAAGAAGAGCTGGTGGTAGTTTAAGGGTGAGTCTGTCAATCAGAAGATCTGGTTTGGTTCCTGAACTGGTGCGAGCTTGGTGATTCATAAGATTGTTTTGAAACCATTTGTATTCTTGTTGATGTTAATATTATTTTCTTTTCGAAAAGGTTATATTGACTGAATATGTTTTGTGAGTTTCTGAATACTTGAAAATAAAACATCGTAATTGTAAAAATGTTTTATTTTGTTTTATTGATAAGACACAACCATAAGCTGTTAAAGGTGTAGGTAAGATTTGAAATTCAGGCTCTTGTCTTGATAATTGAACCTGTTGCAGCTCTCGTGAGGAAGCACCTGTCTGGATAATTGAACCTGTTGCAGCTCTCGTGAGGAAGCACCTGTCTGGATAATTGAACCTGTTGCAGCTCTTGTGAAGAAGCACCTGTCTGGATAATTGAACCTGTTGCAGCTCTCTTGAGGATGCACCTGTCTGGATAATTGAACCTGTTGCAGCTCTCGTGAGGATGCACCTGTCTGGATAATTGAACCTGTGTAGCCATCAGGCTGCTGAAGTGTTCATTTATTCAAAAGCTCGATGACAGAGAATATTCTGTCGAAGGCAAAATAGTGATTAAAATTATATGAATGGATTATTTAAAGTCTGTGGTGACTCAAGGTGTTTTCCGAAAATGGGTAAGCATGTCCTGCACTACCAATAGATCACACTGCTTGCACACTATTAATTGAGAAAGTAAGTGCCAGTGAATAAAGAGGTGTGACTAGCATCACGTGATGTCATATTTAGTGCCTACCCGGACACTTCTAGATTTTTATCTAACCAGGCCATTGGTGAAATTTCAGTTTAAAAGGTCTTTTTGTAAACATATGACAAACACTTGTTTTCGCTGTTGTCTCCTTAGGCAGCTCTTGTACTCGCTGTTTTAAGCGCCCAAGACACAGGCTCTTATTTTGCCTGTTAAGGGGCTCATGAAACAGGCTCTTGTAGCTGTTGAAGCACTCATGAAACAGGCTCTTATTTTGCCTGTTAAGGCGCTCACTCATGAAACAGGCTCTTGTAGCTGTTGAAGCACTCATGAAACCGCCTCTTGTAGCTGTAGAAGCATTCATTAAACAGGCTCTTGTGGCTGTAGAAGCTTTCATGAAACAGGCTCTTGTGGCTGTAGAAGCACTCATGAAACAGGCTCTTGAGGCTGTAGAAGCACTCATGAAACCGCCTCTTGTAGCTGTAGAAGCATTCATTAAACAGGCTCTTGTGGCTGTAGAAGCTTTCATGAAACAGGCTCTTGTGGCTGTAGAAGCACTCATGAAACAGGCTCTTGAGGCTGTAGAAGCACTCATGAAACAGGCTCTTGAAGCTGTTGAAGCACTCATGAAACAGGCTCTTGTGGCTGTAGAAGCACTCATGAAACAGGCTCTTGTAGCTGTAGAAGCCTTTACTATTGTCTCCTAAGGCATGCTCCTGATACAAGCTCTTGTGTTTTGGCTGTTTTAAGCACTCATGAAACAGGCTCTTGTTTTGCCTTTAAAAGCACTCTTGAAACAGGCTCTCGTGGCTGCTCATGAAACGGGCTCTTGTTTTGGCCGTCGAAGTGCTCCTGAGACAACTCAGATCTTGGCTGTAGAAGCACTCATGAAACAGGCTCTTGGATTGGTTGTTGAAGCACTCATGAAACAGGCTCTTGGATTGGTTGTTGAAGCGCTCATGAGACAGGTTCTTATCTTGGTTAATGAAGCGCTTACAACGACATTCGTAAAACAGTTGCATTCCCAGGTTGATGCACCGCCTTCGTGTGGCAAGTCTCCGCGCTGGTCAGACATGATTATTTGTTGATGCAACAACATCGTCTACTGCGAAATGCGTGGTATCAAGAACGCAGGGTATATCCTTACCAGCGATGGAGACTGACTGGTTCAGCGACAAGTCAATATTTATCCTGCATCGAGATGACGAGGGGGCCTGATAACCTTGACCTTTGTCATTTGCGTGTCCACTGACACGCTTTATTGGCTTCATGTCAATATTATCAATTGTTCAGATGTGTGTCAATGCCAACACCACTCATCTACTTCTGCATTTCATTTTTGAGGATTTGCGGAGGGGTAGTCTAGTGGTTAAAGCGTTTGCTCGACATGTCGAAGACCCGGGTTCGATTCCACACATGGGTACGATATGTGAAGCCCGTTTCCGATGTCCCCCGTCGTGATATTTCTTGTAATTGCGGCGTAAAACTATACTCACACACTCTTTTTGAGGAGTATCACTTTCAAAATACAAGGATACCAAGACTAAACAAGATGTTGAATATACTTTCTCTGGCCCTTATACAAGGTGGAGACATTGACGTTATCTCAATTTCTTTCTTAGGGTTGACTATTTGTTTGCCAAATTCAATATTATTCATGAAATTTCTCAGAGTTAGGTTTTATTACACTACTGAACTGAATTTGTAACAGAGATGTACAATTATAGCCTTCTCCATATCTATAATATATATTATAAGCTATAATATAAGCTATAATATAGAGTCCAAAGGGATTTTTACAGCCAATAACATGTTGGATACATTTTAAGTTTGTGATTGTATGAGCGCTTCAATTGCATTTTAGTGTCACCTCATCATACATTAACGTTGACATGCCAACAGACGAGGTCGTTCGATGCAGGAGATATTGTGTTCATTACACATAGTAATACCAGCCTCGCCTACCTGAACTGGTGTAAGTTTGTTGTGGAGAAAACAAAAAAAATTAACGCCGACAGTGGTACAGATGTTTTGTGATTTATAATATTGTTCATATAACAAGGAAGTCCCCGTTTTCTGTCGACACCCAATTGTATTTTCACCTATGTGCTTAGATTTTTCTTTGTGTGAATTGTTTTGAGATGTATTATTGGGGATTGTTTCTGCTAAATAGCGTTAAATGTTGCTGTACTGAAAAAAACCATGGAAGTGGGAGAACAGCAGACGTTGAATACTGGATACATATTGACAACCCTGTTAACCAACCTAATCAATACATCTACCGTCCCGTGAAGATCTGGGTTAGAATAGGTCTTCAGCAACCATTGCTTGCCGTAAAAGGCGACTATGTTTGTCGTAAGAGGGATTGGCTGGCCAGGCTCGCCGACTTGGTTGATGCATGTCATCGTATCCCAATTGCGTGGATCGATGCTCATGATGTCTTCTATGTGTTTATTCATAATACTGAGAGGCCACATGCCTATGGTACATGTCATATAGTAATGGGCGTATATACATTTATAAGGTAACATATTAGGAGCTTCTTAGCTTCATAGCATGCAATATGTACATTGACAGCTTTTTCGTTATTACTACATTCTTACTTGACATTAAGGTAACAAATTTATCAATGAACTGTTTACTGAGTTCAGCATACAAGGACAAAGTAGTGAGAAATGGTATTCACTTTCATCAATGTTTAAATCACAAAACTGACACATTATGTGTTCTCTCACGATCCCCATATATCTTCCCGTATCGATAAAGAGTTCGTGTGAACCACCTCCGAATCTTGCAAGTGCAATTCGAAATGTTTTCAGTGTCACATCTGATAAGTTTTGCTCTCCACAGAAGCTATTTTTAAAGAGGGAATAACTTGATAGTTTCGTTGATACTGATAAGGAAAAATGCTGTTTTTTAATGTACATATCTTTCAGGGTCTGAGTGAAAGCATCTATGAAATGATCTG